TGCACAACGTTTACGAGCAACTCTGGAGGTGGTCACTCGGCTCGGAGGTCAGAGTGCTGAGCTGGCACCACTAAGGGCCTGGATTCCAATCCAGGTTTCAGCCGCATGCCGCCAATGAATGACTGCAGGAAAAAACGCATCACGTTCAATTTGTTTGTGCATTGAATTTGGCTAACTTCCATCTTTGAGAATTAAACTATCAGTTTGACTGTCACGTCACAAGCCTCACTCTCGTTCAGAGAGGACAATCCGAAGGGGTTCTGAGGAAGCTCTGCGATCTCCACTTCTGTGGGCCATTCTCCAACACAGAGATGTTGCGCTGCTCCAAGGGCTCCGCATGGTCGCTTCGGTTTCGAGAGTGTCGCGGTCTCCGGCCCGAAGGCCGGGAACGAGTCACCGGCTCACGTTCGGGGATCCATCGCTGAGCCCGAGCCAGTTTTTGCAAGCAACTTAAAACGCCGTCGCGTCCCAAAGAGCTCACGGCGTGCGATGAGTGCGCATTCGCGTTGGACTGGACTCGTAGGAGTGTGCGGTAGGATATGTCGGACTTACTTTCGCACACTCGGGATCAATCTAGGGGAGAATAAAAACTTCCGAAAATATTTGACGACTCTCGACTCAATTGGCCATCCGCACTCCCACATCACCCCCACCCGACCGCTAGACGTCCACGCACTGGCATGCGGGATGTCGGTATTCCTTGGATTGGATGGGACACTGAGGCTTTCACCCTTGATCAGCTCTGTGCCTACTTAAGCTCAACACACAACCAACGGTGGTGGAATTGCAGACGTTTCAGACTATAATAATAATATATCACATGTAATATTACATTTTACCGAAGGTGCTGAACATAACAAAAATATCATCTGATAGGCCAAGGGAGAGGCAACGAATGAAGAAGACAAATAGAAGCCAATTCAGGGAAGTGAAAGCGAGAGAAAGTAAATGCGAGTTGACAGGCGGTGGTTACTAACACCGCCGCTGTCTCCCAATCTCCGAACACCGCCTGGGCGCTTTCTCCACAGCGGCACAGCAGCAGAGAGCACAGAGCGTGGAGGGGCACCGTCACTCAGAGTGTGGAGGAGCCACACGTACAGGGTCGATGAATCTGAGATAACTTAGTTGTCTGCTTTTGAGAGCCATACAAGTCAGAAGGAAAATCCTAAACTCCACTCTCAACTCCATAGTAGGCCGGTGAAGGGAAGTCGGGACGGGGCTGGTATGTTTGCCGATCGCCTGATGCTTTGCTGTTCTGCAGCATCAACGTTTCGATTGTTCAATGAAAAGCGGCTGTACCTCAGCTTGTTGCCATGGGCTGCCGCATTCATGTCCCCAACTGCACGAGAGGCATTCACAACAACGCGCAAACAATTCCCCATTGAAACGCATGCACTCATTGCCTAATGCACGCATGCACCAGGAAGCCGAGTCTATTTGCGTAGGGGGCCCAACTCCCCTGAAGGGTCTTTAAACCGTCCATTCACGAGCATTTGGTTGGACATTTAACCTCCCCCCCCCCGTCTCTTCTGGGAACCGCAGCCAGAGGTTGCTCAAATGCAGTAGGTCCTAGTTGGCATGCATGTGGGGATGTTCCTTATCAATGGCTCATATCTGTTGGTGGCCCTGAGCCATACTCTTTGGTTATTTCGGTAAAGTCACGTAGGTATAAAATAAAATAAATCACGACGTTTCGGGCGCAACACAAGCATCCATCATCAGGTGGGCCCTGAGCCAATTATGCAAAGTCCTCATCACTCTGGCAGGGGGGGGAGACGAGCACATCACTCTGGGATGAGCACTACCGACTGTTCACAAAGTGGCACTCAGTCCACAAACCCCAAAGGGATGACGCGAGGCTGAGCCACGCATACCCTGGGCAATGAGCTTCCCACAGTGGCGACTTAGAATTAGGTGGAGGCACAGTGCGATGGGGTTGCTGGAGGCAGAAAGAAAAAAAAAACAACCATGCTAAACTATGTTTATTTTACCAGGTAAGGCCTACTGAGCTATATAGCTATTTTTCAGAAGTGAATTTGCTATCACAAATGACAGCCCAACAAAGTGGCTTATAATGTGGAGATGTATAGCAGCCAAATACTCTAAACGCACGTTTCTAAATGTGGAGGGACAAACTGAAAGAGCTGGAGAAAAATCCACGAGACCGTGGGCAGAGAGACACGCAAACTCGAAATATACAGCAGGCATCAAGGGTCGCGATCAAACCCACGACCTCCTGTATACCAGGCGAGGTAGTCAACAGCTCGCCACCGCGGTGCCCAAAGTGACGCGTTTCCCAGCGTCATAAAGGGGCACAGCCTTGCCACGCGTCCACTAAGCAGGGCGGGCGGCCGTGCCGACGTACGCATCCCCATCGCCACTCGTCTATAACACAACTCGTGAATCACGAATACAAACGTTTCTACTCCCCCGGCCTATTCCTGCGCCCAGCCCGCAGCCACCGCTCGCGGTGCAGGATGAGCCCCACGGGACGCGTGACGCACACCCATGGTGGCTCTCCCACCTGAACTCTGTGGTTCCCAACGATTTTTGTGTACGGTGGCCCCACGCCAACCCTCACCACCGGCCCTCGCGTCTCCACACCAAGTGGGTTACTAAGGGCCCCCAATACTAACAGAGAGAGAGAGAGCTCGCGTGTCCATGCCTCTTAGACGACGCGGTGTTCGCCAGGTATCGGCTTCATGATGCGTCCGTGTTTTTGCCATGCATCACGGCGCTGACGCGTTCCCCTCGCACCCCCCGCCCCCCTGCTCACATTTGGAATTTTTCTCCTGCACGGCCTCCACGCCCGCATCCTCTGCGACTCCCCGGAACGGCCTCCACTCCCTCCCCCCTCACCCGGGGGGTTGGGCGCGACGCACTGGGTGGGTTTGAAAACCGCTGACTCGAGCCTTTTGCCAATTTTTACTGGCGGTGAACAAAATATGAAACAAGAATCAGCACAAAAAAGACATCAGGGTCCAGTCCGTGAATTTGACGCTGAGAAATGTTTGCAAACAATTAAAGTACCGCTCTCCAAGCCGCCTCGCTCTTGCCTGATCGCAGACAAACGGAGCGAGCTGTGGACGCGCGAGCAAGACGCGGCCACCAACGGGCCCTCTCCCTGCCGGCGGGGGGGGCGGACGGGGAAGTATCCACCACCGCCGCGTATACCTGGAATGCACCCCATCTTGTCGGGAGTGGAGAGACAAGGTGTGGAGAACAAGCGGGGCTGTGCTTGGACAGTGCTCGGATGACTAAGACGGGTTGCCCGAGAAGGATGTGAAGAGTTTCGACACCGGAGAGGAATGGAAAAAAAATGTGCACAATAAAAAAGATGGTTAACGGTGGAAAATAACCACGCGAGACGGGCGCGGTTCAGACACAGACGAACGCAGAGAGAGCCCCTACTTAGAGACGGAAGCAAATGGGAGCAGGGGAAGAGAGAAACTCAGGTGCATCGACGCAGCGGGCAAATGTAGGAGTATATTTTGAACTTATTTCGCGCCGTACGTAGCCAACCGTGCTAATCGGAGGTGCGGGGGAAGGACAGCAAACTAATAGCACAAAAAAATGACCCAGAGCTGTGGCATCACGAGGGTTGGTGTCACCCAGTGCGGTAACTCATGGTTTCACCCCCCATGGACCTCCTCCCGTACCAGACCATACAGAATCCTTACTTGATACAGTACATGTAAGCTGGGCTTACGAAAAATGTTTTTGTTATAACTACAGGGATATTTTAATAAAATAATAATACATTTCTGCTGAAACACTTTACAACAATTGTATAGACAGTCATTTTGGTTTCACCCCCTCTGATGGTGTCACCCGGTGCGGTCCACACCCCCCGCACCCCCGAGTGACCCAGAGCTGGAGACAGAAGACCATGGCGCCTATTTGTCTGCCAGCATGACTGCGGAGGAGCGGGACAAGTGATGACGATGGTGATGATGGTGGTGGTGGTGGCGAGCACGTGGATGGGCACCCCCCGGCGGAGAGCGGGCGTAGCCACACACTGCTCCGCGGCCGCGTTGTGTGCATCAGAGGGCAGTGCAGTAACATCCGCTGTTGTGCTGCACTTCTAAACTCCCACGTACATGCTCCCTGGCTTCGCCAACCCGCACCCTAGACAAGCAGCTCTAAGTGAAACACAAAATAGCTAAGCGGTCAGTGCGCCTCCACCGCATACCAGCCCCTCCACGTAAAACACACGAATTCTGGCACGTCCCCCCATCAGCGCGACGGCCTCCTGGGAGCGCATCACTTCAGCAGCATTGGTTCAACAAAATAAACCTCTGGACCCGTTTCGACATTCGGTGTCTCATCGGCCGAGTCACAACTTGAGCCGATGACGCCGGCGACTGACGCCCGTGAGTAAAATGTTGTGCAACACGGCACAGCGTTGTCAGGTGCCGGCGGGCCAACCACACCACTTTCGCGGTGTGGCGAACTGCCGCCAGCCTTGCTGCCGGATAGACGACCTCGCCCGGGCTCTCCACAAAGGTCGCTCGACAATTGACCCCAGTTTTGAAAGTTTGACGGAGGACCCCGAACGCGCGCACATGGGGTTGGTTGAAGCTCGCGAAGCCGCACCGCGTGCCCGCCGACGCCGAGGGTCCCAGGCGACTGTCGCTGCGACCCTTCTCACGCGGAACGCCCCCAGAACATGCCCCGTCGCGTCTGGCGACAACATCGCACCGCTGCACCTCACTAGCTGGGAAATTGGGCTTCACACCTCTCCTCCCATCGCTCACATCCACACCACCATCACTCGGCATCTTGACTCACACTCAGCTCGGGAACTCCCGTCACTTCCTGCTCACAGCCCTCTACCCCCGTGTCCCCCTATACCCGTGTCCCCCTAACCCCCGTGTCCCCCTACCCCCCGTGTCCCCCTACACCCCCGTGTCCCCCTACACCCCCGTGTCCCCCTACACCCCCGTGTCCCCCTACACCCCCGTGTCCCCCTACACCCCCGTGTCCCCTGCTTGGCTCACGTCTCGCTCTGCTCGCTGGCGGCGGGCGCGAGGAAGGTGGAGGGGGCGAAGCCCTCGCGGGGCTCCCCGGGGCGCAGGGGCGCCACGCGCCTCGCCTGCCACCAGCCGCGGGTGGCGCGGACCTCCTCGGCCTCCTCCAGCACCTCGAGCTCGTCCCCGCGCACCAGGCTCAGGTCGCTCTCCGTCCTCGCCTCGTAGTCGAACAGCGCCACGAAGCGCGGCCACACCTTGGGGGCGGCGGCGGCCTCCCCCGGGGTCTCCGCGGCCTCCCCCGGGGTCTCCGCGGCCGGGACCTGAGCACGGCTGCCGGGGGTCTTCTTCTGCCTCTCGGTGGAAGCCGCCGCCGCCGCCGCAGGGGTCTCGGTTCGAGTCTGGCTCCGAGTCTCTGCGGGCGAGGCGGCGAGGGTCCCCGTGGCCAGGGCGAGGCTCTCCTGGTCGGCGGCGCCCGGGTTCGGGGCTCCCGTGAAGCCGCGGAGGCGCGGAGGTAGAGGGGACCCCTTGCCCATCTCCCCGCTCGGCCTCACGCGGCCCCGCTCCGCCTTGCCCAGATGGCTCCCCATGTCCCCCCGCAGCGGCTACCGTCTCATGGCGCTACCCGGGCTCCGACTCCGCCGCTGCTGGTGCGAGGACACCGCGAGACGAGGGGGTGAGAGGCAGCAGCAGCAGAGAGGCCGGGCACCCCCCGTGTGCGCGCGCGCGTGGAGGGAGAGGAGACGCGGGTGGCTGCGACGTGGAGTCAGACGAAGCTGACTGACACCTGTCTGGGTGCCAAACGAGCGGGCGAGAGGAGGGGGCAGCAGCAGCAGCAGGAGGAGGAGCAGCAGGAGGAGGCGGCGGCGGCTGCGAGCTCCGCCCCGCGGTCACTGCCCCGCTGTGGGCTGAGCGCCGGGACCCCGGGAGGCCGCGCGCTTCGCGGGCCAGAAGCGGACCCCCCCAACCCCCCCCCAATCACCCCCCAATCACCCCCCCCAATCACCACCCCCCCAATCACCACCCCCCCAATCACCACCCCCATCACCCCCCCCCAATCATCACCCCCCCCCAAATCACCCCCCCCAAATCACCACCCCCAATCACCCCCCCCATCACCCCCCCATCACCCCCCCCCATCACCCCCCCAATCACCACCCCCAATCACCACCCCCAATCACCCCCCCCCAATCACCCCCCCCAATCACCCCCCCCCCAATCACCACCCCCATTCACCACCCCCCATCACCCCCAATCACCCCCCCCAAATCACCACCCCAATCACCCCCCACCACCCCCCCCCAATCACCACCCCAATCACCCCCCCCCCCCAATCACCCCCCATCACCACCCCCAATAACCACCCCCCCCCAATCACCACCCCCAATCACCCCCCCCCCAATCACCACCCCCAATCATCCCCCTCATCACCACCCCCCCCAATCACCAACCCCCCATCACCCCCCCCCTCCACGAGCCGCTGCCCACCTCGAGGCTCGTAGCTAGCGCCACTAATGTGCCACTCGAGAGTGGTATCTTTTGACGAGGCAACGCCTCTGTTCTATAATCTTCGCGCACTAAGTCGGCTGTCGCGTTTCAAGTCGTTCTGAGCCGACAGCCGAACCGTGCCACACCCTCGGCTGGTGGACAAAGTTTAGCGTCAAATAATTGTAATCGTTTCTCGAATTTCTCTGTTAGATTTAAAACTAAAAAAAAAATCTTGCTTCCACTATCCCTCTCTCCTGTTCTTTCTACGCGCTTGTAACTGCCGTAACTAACCTCCATGTTGCGAGGGAGCTAACGCATACCGTTAACTCACGCGGAATAAGCGGAATGCGGATTAACGTGTCTCTATTTTTAGATTCTATGAAGTTGGGTGGTGGTGCGGGTCAATGATTCAGTGCCCACGTGACCGCACACCACGCAAGCCGGTGAAATATATCCCTCGATGAAAAACGACGTAAAAACACAGACGGCATATTCTGTGCCCCCCCCCCCCCCTATTCTGCATAGGTAAAGAATCCACGTTATATGGCCTAATTTACATGTGTGGGGGGGGGGGGGGCATCATCCGTGTTTAAGTGTTATCCGAGCCACCATTCCCCACCCCAATTATCCCCGATCACTCAGGGGGCTCACTGCACAGACCAAAAAGGGAGCAACGTTCAGGGGACTTTGTTGTGGCGCGGCCACGGAATGTGAAGAGCTGCAGGGAGTGACATCATTCACCATCGCTCAAGCACAGCGGGTAGCTTTGTTCCAGCCTGCTCCAACTCTGGAGAGAGAAACCGTGCCACCTCCTTCCCTTCCACGACATGGATATTTCACGCAATTCGTGACTGCGTTCCTGTGTAACGCACTGACAGGGCAGCAGACGCACCCCCCCCCCCCGCGATCACGGGACCATTGACAAACTCTTTGCACGATCCGAGAGGAGTTTGCATCGCACGGGATGTGTGGGAGTTTTGCTGAAAGTCCATAAGCTTTGATTGAAATTTTTTTTTACCTGGTAAGGCCCGCTGAGCTAAGAAAACTATTTTTCAGAAGCGACCTATCACAAATGATAATCAACGAAGTGGTTTATCATCAGCGTGTGTAAATGTATAAACGGCCAAATACTCTAAACGGCTCATGTTGATTGTAAATGCGGAGGTAAAACCCGGAGGACCCGGAGAGAAACTTATATACACAGCAGGCGTCTGGGTCTGGATCGAACTCACGCATACCAGGCGAGGCAGTTAACGTGTCGCCACCGTGGCACACGTATATACTACTATATACAAATGTCCACAGTCCACAACATGGGCACAAGGAGGCTCCATCCTGAACAGCTTGGACTTTGTACGCAGTGTCATTCATTCACTGGAGGGGCTTTCTACTCCTTCACACGGTTTCCAAAGAAGGTTGAACCTTGTTATATTGCACAGGCTGTATTGCGTCATCTGGCAATGGTCGTTATAATAACCCCAATACACATTGAAGGGGCCGTCCATAAATGACGTCACGCACCTAGGAAGGGGGTCAGACATTTGTGACGATGTGTGACGAGGGGGGGGGGGGTTGAGAAATGTGACATCACATAAAAATGCGTAACTTTAAATAAATATAGACAACACGTTCTACTTAATTAAATATACTTTTTAAAATAAATGTTTTTTCCTACAACATCGAGTGCAGCGCCACATTAAATACGCACTACAATAATAGTTTAAAGCGATTTGAAGCATGTTTTCTTTTGGGGGGGGGGGGGGGCAGAGCTTTGTGACGTCATATTTGAGCGGGGTCTGACTTTTTGTGACGCCGTGTGACGAAGGGGGAGGGGGGGTCAAAAATCGTCAAAAATCGCGTGACGTCATTTATGGACGGCCCTAAGTGTGGTGTTGCGCTGAGAGATTTCTCTTGCAGATCAGCGGGCAAAACTTATGAAAGGGTTGACCAAAACTGGGCGATACACTGAAAAATGTGAGCCTTTTTCCGCCCCATGGCTGACATAAGCCGTGAGCACGCATGTGATGGCACCACTACATAACGTCACCCATTATCAACAGCCACGATCAATCCACTGCTAGATGGTTTCTCTCCGGCGATGTAACGATCCGCCCAGCGCCGGCGGTACGAGCCGATTTAATCGCTCCGTCGTCTCACAGGTGACAACATCCTGTTGGACGCGTCCCGTCCCTTGGCTGCCACGGGCGCTTTGTTCCTCACCATCCCTTCGAGCGACGGTGCCTTGCCGACGCCCACCTGCTTTACCAACAGTCTGAATTATGCCATTAACTGCGATGCGTTGTCTAAATATTATAAAAGTTTCCCCCTTCTCCGACGTTAAGAAGGAGCACGCTGCAGTGCGTTACAGAACTCCACGCGAATGCACGCGTTTCCGTTCTTGTCTCGTCGTCGTGGTCGACAAATGAACTTCACGCTCAGGCGTGGGAGGAACAACGCGGGTTGCTGTGGACGTGCGCGTGGTGTGGGGGCGTGCACGATGCCGTGAGAAGTTCGGACTTGGCAATTCAAAGTAACAACACTCCCATTCTTTACAAGGCATATAGGGCTTATTTTTATTACAATGTATAAAATACTATGTACAGGTCTCTGGCGAAACATTAATTACCCGAACGGACAAAAGATGGAATATACACAATGAAAATCTTGTAATGTTTGAGAAGGTAATGTCACATTCTACAAAACCACACAAACGATGTTTGCAAATTTTCGTCGAAAATATTATTTGTAATTGTATTATCACCACTTGCTCCGAGGCCAAAATCCCCGTGAATTCGGGGTCTCTAACCCCCCCACCCCCTTTTCCATCACCACATCCGAGCCGCGCCAGGGAGGGCCCTTCACAGTATGGGTTGTACGCATCCAGTGGCTCTTTGCCCAGCCGAGCCAGAACTAAACCGTGAAATTCTGGCCTGACAAGAAGACGTCTGAATCAGGCTCAGGGCCTAGCAGGGCCAGGAGCTTGATTCACCTTTTTAAAATGTATAATACTCAAATATTAAACGATTTTGTTAAAAACTAAAACTATTTTTTTATTTTATCAGGTAAGTCCCACAGAGCTATACTGTACAGCTCTTTTTCCAGAAGCGACCTGGCTATCACAAATGATAGCTCAACTAAGTGGCTTATCATCATGTGGAAATTGAGAGCAGCCAAACACTCTAAACGCATATTTCTAACTGTGGAAGGAAAAACCGGAGGTCCCGGAGAAAAATCCACGTCACCACGGGGAGAACATGCAAACTCCAAATATACAGGCGTCAAGGTCGGGATCGAAACCACGACCTCCTGCGTACACCAGGCGAGGTAGTTAACATCTCGCCACCGCGTCAGTCGACTCGTTCACTGCGTGCGATGCAGCGACACGCCGCAGTTTCTCCATTGGAAAAACCGGCGCCTCCTGAGTCACGCCGGGCTAGCTTGGCACGGACCCGGAACGGCTCGGTTTGTGCAGTGGAAAAGAGGTATCTGTTACGACACAGCAAGGCTAAGCCAAGCACACCTTGGGGTTGTGTATCATATATACCACAAGACACTTTCTACCTTCAAACACCTTGCAATCTCACCCCCTGGCAAGACACCGCAGCCCCCGGGTGCCAAAGGAGGGGCCTTATTGCACCCTCAGGCTCAATCACAAGGCTCACTTTCAGAAAGTCAGCATGTATTGAGGTTTATGGAAAAAGATATATGTGCAAATGATTTCCCACACAATGTTGCCATTATTTTACGAACAATTATAAAATGTGCGTTTTCTCCCGTCAGTCGTATATTTGATAATGGCCAAGGAAACAAACAAAACCCTATATTTAGGTTAACGCAGAGTTTATAATTTTAACACGTAGGCTTTCGCGACCAATTTCCATTAAAGATACATTTTGGGTTAAATCGCGTAAATATAAATGTCAATAAAATATGCCAATTAGTTACTAGTTCAGCACACCGGTGTGTTGCAGAGTAAACCCACAACACGGTGGGTTTTGTTTACGTGACAAACCTTACTAATTGGCTGTGTCGGGTGGTGGCGGGTTGAACGACACATTTATATTTACTCTATCTAACCCCCCCCCAACAAAAAAATCCCCTCTATTACGGAGAGTTTATCATATGCCATTTTCGTCGTAGACTTTGAATATGCTGCTGCTACGTAGGTTTCGAGGTTGTGCTGCAACCCAGCTCTGTGATGTTCCCTCGCGTTGCTCCGCGCATCGTTTGGAGTTACTTGGGGGTGTGGGCGTGCCGGGGTTTTGAGCTTTTTGAGGAGCCGAGTGCAACCGGCTCGCCTTCGACCGTAGGGAGTGCTGCCATCTGCTGCTGGCGCACACCAACCACAGCAACCACACGCTCATCAAAGACAAAGTTCCCCCCGTATAGCCTTGAACACTTGGGGCAAGTGCTGTTTTGCGACCGGCACGGCACACGAGGGGGTGGGTAGCCAGCAGCACCACGCCCGATCGCCTTTGTCTCTCCAGTGGCGATGTTTAATACACACTGACACCAGGTACTCATTTGAGGCCGAGTCGACCTCGGGGAGGCCCAGGGCCGGTTCAGATTATCGTCGCCGGTGTTGAGCGGGAATCGAACTCGGTCCGCCGCGTTTTGAGCGTGGCGCGCCAAACGCGACACTACCGCTCCCCACACACTCACCACCAAACACTCACCACCACCACACTCACCACGCTGCATATCGTGCTGAAGCACATGCAGTACAACCCGGATTGCACATTAGACTTTGAATATTTCCGCACTTTTGCAAACGTATAAATTGTCTCGTAGAATCGATGTTTTGGGAACTGTGAAATAAGGTCGCATTGAACCATGAACTTACAGCGTGATGAGAAGCAGCCTCGTGATTTCACTTAGCTGCAGAAGGGTCTGGCGGGCGGTGCGAATGATTTTACTCAAGGATACAACCTGAACAGACCTGGAGAACATCACGACAGAGTGTGTCGCAAATGGCATCGTTCTACTTCACGGTAGTCCTGAAACGTTCAATATTTCAGTTAAGCATTTATGTTTCGTCATAAAAATAGATATTTTTGTACAAAATAACTTTGTACAGCTATTTTAATGATAATGAGGTGAAGCACTTATCTCAAGTGTAAGCGATGCATACATTTAGGTATTCTGCGTGGAGCTGAAATGCAGATTAGATTGAAACTCATACTATAAACATCCTGTAGCTAAATGCAATGAGGGTAACAAGCTGTAGTATTGTGGCTATAAACACATCTTACAATGAGTTTCTCAACTTTGGCAAATCACTAAAACGAGCGCTCCCCCCCCCCCCCCTTTTAATGTCCAACTTAAATTTGACCCCAAAAAATGCCACGGAGGACTAACGCGCCCACAGGATGTGCACACCAACTCGCGAAACGAGGACACAGCACGAGAAGCTGACCGAGCATCCGACAACCGTGAACACGTTTGACATTTTACGACGGAAATCATTCCGTCGAATTACACGTTTGATCTTCATTGTAAGTTTAAGAAGGTCCACTGCTTGAACAAGTAATGCGTTAAAGCTAAAGAACACTTCGTAATGTTACCACAAGTGTAGGCGGAACTTGGGAGCAAGAGGACAGTCGAAACGATGGAATTAAATCTGTGCTGGTTAAACACATTCCTTAACTCAGCTTATCAAATAGTTTATCTTATTGTGAAAAACATATTTTTTCATTTTTTTTTATCTAAAATGCTCCTAAAATGTTTTGTAAATCATAAAGAGCAATTTTGATGAGTCCGTTCATTGTGTGTAAGCTGTGTGCTGTGTGCAATGTGTGTTATATGCGTGTGTGCTGTGTGAGCTATATGTGTGTGCTGTGTGCACGTGTGCTGTGTGTGTGCTGTGTGTGTATATGTGCGTGTGTGAGCTTTGTGTGTGTGCTGTGTGCGTGATGGTAAGTTGGGCAAGCAAGTGTTTGTGTCTTGTCGAGTATCCTCGAGGCATCGACATGACTGACTCGGTTGAAAGACACTCTTGACATGGACTATGGCGATTCATTTTCAAGGCGAAACACGTGCTGTTATTCTTTTCAGCTATGAGAATTCAAATCTAAGGTGGGGTATATCCACTGGGAACCACCAAGACTCTATCCTATACAGTAAAACCTTGGATTACGAGCATAATTCGTTCCGAAAACGTGTTTGTAATCCAAAGCACTTGTATATCAGTTGTGATCACGTGATGCTCGGCAGACAAAGCGTAGACGTACTACTCGTATTGCAAGACCTCGCTCGTTTATCAAATTAATACTCTTTGGTTCTATTCGGTAAAGTCACGTAAAAAACTTTTTTTTAATTTTTGTTGTTTTTTACGTGACTTTACCGAATAGAACCAAAGAGTATGGATCCTTGCAGTCACGAAAGCATTAAATCTAGAATATCAAATTAATATTTATTTAGAAATTTTGTTCGTCTTGCAAAACACTCGCAGAGCAAGTTACTCGCAATCCAAGGTTTTACTGTATAAAGTATAAAGTTACGTATAATGTATAAAGTTACGTGAAAAAACTAAAATAAAACCAAGCATAATTGCGAGACAGCGACTTGAATGAAATATAATTGTTAAGCATAATTACATTTCAAATCTTTACACGTCTGTAATTATCAAAGCCGAAGGTGATGAGTAGGGAGATGTGGACTGTACAGGTATCCCTCGGTTTACGAACGTTCGGGTCACGAATTTCCCCGCGAACGAAATTTCACGATGGCCACGCGTGCCGTGAGATCATCAAACGAGACGCCACCCGGGAGGTTGCGCCGTCGTCATCCGCGACAGCGTCACGGTGTCCCTGCAGGGCAGCAGCGACGCCTCCAACCGTCGCCTTGCCACTCATTGCAACATGCAGCAGATCTTTCGGCGAGTTCTCTGAAAAGGTTAAATTTGTTTATTTTAAATTAAGTATTATTCATTCGTTTTAATATTTACGTTCTTTATTATGACTTTTGTTGCTTTTGTGAAGATTGAGGCGCGTATTTTTTTGGGTTAGGAGTAGATGCGGAACGGCTGTTTCTGAGAAACACGTCCCGGATTTTTCTTATTAAATTAATGGGGGAAAGCCGCAGCGATTGACGAAATGCCGTAGTGCGCCTGTTCTTCTGAAGAACTGCATCGCATCCCTTTCGTAACAATCCAGGCATACCTGTAACTGCTCCTTCCTGCAGCGGGAGAACCCTTCACCGAGACGTCACAATTACCCCGGTGACTTGCAGATCACAGTCGGTGACTTCGATGCCATTCCTCTGAAAACTTTCACGTGACTCTTGAAGGAGCGACAGTTTTTAATGTTACTCATCAAATACAATGTGACTCTTGGGAAAGAAAAAAACAAACCCCCAGCCTTTAAAACGTTTAATTAAATATATATTGTATTTCCATCCTCTGTGCACACACCCCGTTTGGCGCATACGAGCACACGACGCACGCGCGAGCAAATGCCCTTTTGTCCCGACGTCCGGTAAAAATGTTTGCCCGAAATAAATAGACGTTTTGGAGAGATCAATTTTTTGCGGGCCAGAACCGAAACACTCTCTCGCTCTCTCGGAAGTGTCTGAGAGCATGCAGTGAAACGTAGAGCCCAAAAAAAAAACCTCATTCAACAGTCCACAGATTGTAAGCGGCTCTCCAGGAACTTCAAACGTATCGGCAGAGTTACTTCGCAGGGTGTTGTGGCGGACTGCGCCGGGCGATGCTATACCATGGTGCACACCGTGTTCAGCGCCGGGTCGAACCGCACCGCTTTGCTCTCGCCGGGCCTTGCGTTCGTGTCGTACATCGTGTTCTCAAACGACGCTTGCCCGTTGGAGCTTTCGTGTCCCGTGCAGCTTCTGAACCTTGCCTTCGGCCTCGTTCTGTGCGGAGCAGAGGAACGGAAAAGAGCGTTTTAGCCGACTGCGTGCGATGTCCAGGGTTGCGCTGCGAACGTTCGTGCTGTGGAGCCAGTAGTAGTAGGCTTTCGCGATCAATATTATCCATAATAGAGGGTTTTTTAATTGGGTTAGATCGCGTAAATATAAATGTGTGTTGTTTAAACCCGCCATCACCTAACGCAGGAAATTAGTAAGGTTTGCCACGTAAACAAAACGTGGCCAAACAGTTACTCGTTCAGCACACAGGTGTGTTGGAGAGTAAATACCGCGACATGGACCACTCCGTTTCAAAGACAATGCCCTATATCACCAGAGCATGCTTCTGTTTGCATGTTCGCCACAAGTACTGCATGTGTGGTTAATGCAGACAGGATTCCTTGCAAAATGTTTCTGTTTGGTGTTTTAACATCTTAACACCTGTTTTATTGCCAGAAAGGGTAAAACCTATTCTCATATTTAAACAACACATTTATATTTACGTGCTCTAACCCAACAAAAAACCTCTATTATGGATTGTAGTGCGATATCGGACGTTTCATTCTATGCACTGGGAGATGCTTCAGGAAGTGAAATGAGCGGCTCGAGGAACTCCCAACGCGAGGAGCGAAACGTTGGACTTCACGCGACAACACGCGGTGTCAGCGGACAACGGTGGACAGCGACATCAAAACAAAAACGACTCCTGTACACACCAATCACATCGTGCGTTCATACTAACCAGACGCTCCCCACTCACCAAACACTGACACTTACTTAATCACAGCGTACACTCACACTCACCACTGACAAAGTGCGCCATACACCACCAGCTGCCAAATTGTACTGAATAGGCGACGTCACTTTCCGTTGGCATAGTGCAGCAGCGCATTCGTGTGCTTCATCCAGATGTGTAACATCTAAATTTATGTAAAATCTACAGTCTGTTCTCCAATCACACAGGAGTTGCGTTCCCGAAGAACACCGCCTTGTGGAAAAATCACATTGTCATAAATAATGTATGATATAGGGGTAAAGCACAGTCCGCGATAACATGCGAGATGCGTATGCAGGCTAAACAAAAGCTGAGGCTTGTGGGTAGCGTCTAGAAGCATCCAGCAGCATCCCGCCTTGTGCGATGCTATGCCGAGGCAGCCGTTCGACCGCTTAGTCCTACTCGCGCGACGTAGTTCCATTCGCTCGATCGCGCGATATCCAATTAGCATTATGAAAACCACACAGCGTTATAAGAGAAGAGGCTGCAAATGTAAAATCTTAATGTATCTTGGACTCGACACGAGCCCAGTACAGAGCACCGGTCGTAGTACGGGGGGGGGGGGAGGGGCAGAAACTCCTCGAGCAAAACCCCCGGCCCCTGGAGATTCCGGCTCTCTGCCCCTCCCAAGTGGGTACTGTGAGCGAGAACATGAGAGCCGATATCAACGAGGAGGGGAGGATGAGGGGAAAGAAAACTCACATGGTGAGGTAAAAGGGGGGGGGGTTTCAGAGAAAGGGTGGAGGGGATAATCCGTTTATTAAAGCGGTGACTATTCAAATACACGACATGAACAAGTATAGGCTGAGGGTAATTACGCCAAGGTAATTAGTCAATGTCTCTTAGCCATCGTGATGAGAGAGAAACACGAAAATTCTAAATATACAGCAGTCATCATCAGGGTTGGGATCGAACCCACGACCTCCTGTATACCGGTAGAGGTAGTTAACGTCTCCTAGCCACCGCGCAATTGCACAGCGGTTGCGTTTCGCGAGGGTGAGTTTGGGGGGGCCGCCGAGCCCCGGGATACTCGCCTCTGCTTGTACAGATAGAAGGCGAAGCCTGCGAAGATGAGAGCGAAGAATGGCACGAGGATGGCGATGGCCACGGAGCTGCTGCTGGTGCCCCTGCGGGTAACGCCCGACTCTCGCCAGCCCCCAGGCTCCGTTAGGCCTGTGGGAAACATTGGTGGGTGCAGCCAAAAAGTGCACGCGCGCGTGCCATCGGAATCAGAATGTTTATGTACGCTGGAGGAGTCCGATGAGCTACAAAGATTTTTTTTCAGACGTCCCAAAAGGAGCACTGGGTCAGAACGTTGCAACAACAAACAACATGACGGGAGTGCAAAGTATAGAAAAGGTAAGCAAATCACTACAAAAAGTGTAGATAAAACTAAAAAAATATTCTACCAGGTACAGCCCACTGAGATGTTAGTTTATTTTCATAAGCGACCCGGCCACAAATGACAGCTCAAAAAAGTGGCTTATCATCATCACGTGGAAATATATAGAAGCAAAATACCCTAAATGCACGTTGATTCTAAATGTAGAGGGAAAAACCAGAGGACCCGGAAAAAAAATTCCACGTGACCACAGCGAGAAAAGACATGATACATGTTTGTATGTATGATGAACTTCTTTCACACCGCATGTAGCCAACCATGCTAATCGGAGGTGCAGGGGAAAGGACAACAAACTAAACACAAAAAAGCAGTTCTAAGAAATGAGTTTTCAAGCGAGATGATTTAAAAAAAGCATAGCTCCCAGTGGCATCCTAATGTCGGAAAGAAGAGCTTTCCAGACAGCCGCAGAAGCGCATCTGAAAGCGCCGTGCGATGGGGTGACCACCGTCTTTGTTCGATGGGAGCGGCACGTGCCGGAGTCTGCCAGGTGGCTCTGTGAGGCTGCAGTCTGTGTCCCGGTCTGGCCGAGTCGGTCTCAGTTTCAGAAAGTCTGTCCTGGTGTCCCAAAAACATTTGCAAAAAGCAGGAATTTGCCGCCGTTTTACAATTTGCCGACCTTGCGTTTGACACTCAGCGGAGGTGAAGCAGACTCACTATGATGGACCGATTCCACCATCATCAACCCGGCGAACGAACAACAATCACACCTCCGATTAACCGTGGTTGGCTGCATACGGCGCAAAAGAAGTTCAACATACATACAGTACGTATAATCGATGATCTCCCGGTCTCCAGACAGACAACCCGAAGGGGGCATACCAACGGGCCTTTTCTCCGGGGGGCCAACTAAAGCACCGGTTTCACATCTGTTCTGGAAACAAGGAACCTCCAACTCAACATCAACCGGCGAACTTTCCCGGACCGAGTGCGAGTATCTCGCGGAACACGATAAAGACGCAAAACCTCGACGTCCTCACACGTTCACAGAAAAACGCGTCTCCAATGACCCAACAGCCCAGCCGCTACCATATCCGTGGATAGACAATATCTCGTCAAGGAGTGTAAACCATCACGCGAACTCCGGACATCTTCACAGAGTATTTTGGCTCGCGATTGAACAAAGACGGTCACTGTGTCGCGCGCTTATGCCGCTGTTTGGAATGCTGTTCCTTCCGATATTAGGAAGACACTGGAACCATGCACTTTTAAATGATCTAGATTGAAAACTGATTTCTTGAAAACCGCTTTTTGTGTTTAGTTGGCTGCCCCCTCTCGCACTTCCGATTAGCACGGCTGGCTACGTACAGTGCGAAAGTAGTTCAACACACGTACGTACAACCACACTAAGTGTCGTCTGGCCACATACGCGTTACAGGAAACACGCAAGACGTATAAAATGAGCACCGAAAAAATGCGCAGGCGTGCAGCGTCTCACCCAGACGCTGCACTCCAAACTGCCCGAAGCCTTTCGCGTGGATGAACCCCTGATAGACGTAGCTTCCGTGTTCCGCAGACACCTGCAAAAAATTCAAACCGAGCGCAGTTGAAATACAAAGTGCATTTTATCACGTAAATAACACTTTTCAGTTCGAACAAATCATTTCAAATTTACTTTAAAATCAAACAATCACAATTACGCCTGGCCTGTTATACGTTATTTGCTGTTCTTCCATACTTTTGAAAGTCACACAATATTTCTGGGTTCTTGAATGACAATAAAAAAAATGCTAACCAATATCAAACAATCACTAAACTTTGCTCATGTTAAACTGACTAAACTTTACGCTTATCCACGCCTACAATTCTATTATGGAGCATTCAGACGTGAGTGTGACTGTACAGGGCGCTCCGTCTATAGAGATCGCACTGTCTCTGTGTGTGCGCGTAGGTCGGTGTTTCTGAATTCTGAGTGTCTACAGCAACAACATGACATTGGCTACTTTACAGGATCTGAGGATTCCTTGTTTAATGCAAATGAAAAACTCGCAATCATTTGCGATTTCCATTCGGGAAAAATGAATTTGTTGCTACCAAAACAATGTCACGTAAATAATAACGCAAGGGCAATGTCATATTTGTCACCTTGATGAAATTGACAACTTGATTAGAATTCCTACTCACGTATCCGTCCATGACCCAGTTTTCATCCTTGAATTTCGTGGCAGAAGTCTGCGTTTGGCTTGTGATCGTGAATATGTGCAGCGTCAGTCTGGCTTCTTGCCGCTTGTATATTCCTAACACATGACACCCACCGCAAAGCACAGCTCAATCTCAATCCAATCGCATATGTTACAAGCCACCATCTACCAACTGCTGGATGGATGCGCGCCCCAAGCCATCGCCATCTATCCACAGCTTTTGCGATGCCAACGTTACACCGTGCGACCGCACGTCGCGAGCCGATTTCATTTGCTTCATTCCATGGCCGATGTCCTCCTCTCCAGGGACACCGATGTAATTTTCGCTGTCATTCCGTAATTATCCTCGGCCACCGGCCATCATCCCTCTGTGCGATGAGTCCTGCCCAAGCAGACCACCTATTTTTGGTAACAGTCCAGATAATGCCCCTAACGTGCGTAAGTTCTCTCATCCATGTAGTTCCTCTTTTTTTGGTCTTTCTCTAACGAACATAGGTACAGTCTTGTTCTCCTATAACGTGGCAGTAGTTCCTAAAGGACACCACGTTATGAGAAAAATCGCGTTATCATGAATGAGATATAACATAGAGGTAAAGCAGAGTCCGTAATAACACGCGAGATGCGTACGCCAGCCGAACAAAGACTGAGGCACTATGGGTAGCATCTAGAACAGTGGTTCTTAACCTTGTTGGAGGTACCGAACCCCACCAGTTTCATATGCGCATTCACCGAACCCCTCTTTAGTGAAAAATAAAATGTGATTTTTTTCAAATTCAAGACATAGATATGTTTTTTACTGGTACACAAAATGAGCCGTGCATGAACATTGCCTTGTTCAAAGAATAAAACCAACACAATGCATAAACTCACAACAAATTACATACCTGGAAATCAATGTGACTTCTGCTGTTGCCTTTGAGAGATCAGTTCAGATATGCGTGGCCTCACCTTGGCAAGTGCCACTCTCATGTTATTTTCACAGCAAAGTCTGTTCCTTTTCTTCGTTTTTATGTCCAGCATCCTCGAAAAGGATTGCTCACAAAGATATGTTGTAACAAATGGTATAAAAAAAATCCAGGGCTTTCTTAGCAATAACTGGATACTTGTTCATTTGTCGACACCAAAACGTTGAGAGCGTTGTTGTTCTGAAGAGTTGCTGTTGAACCTGGCTCTGCTGAATTTCAATGATTTCGTCGAGGAATTCATCATTGACATCTGCTGTTTCAACAGCAAACGTGAACGGCTGTCTCACCCATGCTGGATATGACTCTCTTGTAGGGAAATATCCGTCGAGAGACTTTGCAAGCTCATCTAAGTCCGTGGCAATTGTTTGCTTCAGTTCCGTGGATACAGAAATATCTCCGATTCCAGACACATCTTCGATCTTACTTGCACAGTCGTCCAGAAGCGGGAAGTTTGCGAAGTTATTGTTCTCTGTTCGTCGTTTCCATAACGGTAGCTTTTTTTGAAAAGCCTTCAGGTGTTCTTCCGCTTCCATGATATTGACTCCACCACCCTGCATCTGCTGATTGAGATGATTGAGAGCTGCGAATATATCAGCCATGTACGCTAAAATGAGAATGAACTCAGGATTTTTGAAGCAATCTGCATGGCAGTGTTGGTGCTCTTGCAAAAACAGGGCTAATTCCACACGCATGGCAAAAACACGATTCAGCACCTGTCCCCGGGATAACCACCGAATATTAGAATGGAGCAGAAGTACCTCAAATTCAGAGCCCATTTCTTTACACAGCTCACTGAAGATGCGGTGCCTCAGAGTACTTTTTCGCACATAGTTCACACATTCCACCACAGTTTTTAATACTTCTGTCATTTTTGGAGGTAAGGTTTTTGTTGCCAACGCATGCCTGTGCAGAATACAATGCGTCACAATGATGTGTGGTGCATCGGCCTTTACTAGCGCACCAAAACCAGACTTTCTTCCCAGCATGACTGGAGCTCCGTCCGTACAAACTGCAGAAACCATATCCCATGAAAGATTGTTGTCTCTGAAGAAGTCATCCACAAGCTTCTTCACATCGGCTGCCTTCGTTGTTGTTGTAAGAGGCTTACAAAATAAAAACTCTTCTTTTATCATGTCGTCTTTCACATAGCGTACAAAAACAGCAAGCTGGCTTAGATCAGAAACGTCTGTGGTTTGGTCGAGTTGAAGGCTGAATTTTGCCGGGCTTGAAATCAGATCCGCGACTACTTGAGCCAAGATGTCTTTACTCATGTCTTCTATTCTGTCACTGACGGTGTCATTTGAAAGGGGAATTTGGGATAATTTACCTTCGGCCGCTGTTCCGAGTATCAGATTCGCCATCTTTAATGCAGCTGGTTTCACAAGTGTTTCACCAATGGTGTGTGGCTTGCCCTGCTTTGCGATCAGGTAAGCAACTTCGTACGATGCTGTCAGGATCGGTTTGTTAACAGGTACAAATCCAAGAGCAGGCAGAGTGGCCCTTTCATCGAATCTGGCTCTCTTCACCCTGAATTCAGCAAGTGTTGTGTTCTTGTATTCCCCGTCTCCATGCAGCTTCAAGAAGTGTTCCTTTAGTTTTGCCGGTGCAAGACTAGAGTTGCTCAACTTGGCGTTGCAAATCATGCAGATAGGACGCTCACTCCCATCACGTTCCGTGATACATGAGAATCCATGTTGTACATATTCGTCCGACCACTTTCTTCTTTTGCCCGACATAGTATGGATAAAATATTAAAGAAATCACACGACGTACGACAACAACAGTCACACGTTGACTACTGAGTACGCACTAAATTCCCCGCAGCGCTGATTGGCCAAGCAGTGTAGCATGATCATCTGCAGCCAGTGATGGCCAAGCGGGCCGTGTGTGTCATCACAAATTTACACAATAATTCAAGTGTGTCCGGACCTCCGTGGCGGGGGCTCTGCCGAACCCCTGAGATCGACTCACCGAACCCCTGGGGTTCGATCGAACCCAGGTTAAGAACCACTGATCTAGAAGCATCCAGTACCATCTCACTGCCTTGTGTGATGCTACGCCGATGCAGCCGTACGACCACTTATTCCTACTCGCGTAACGTAGTTCCTTTCGCTTGATTGCGTTATATCCAATCGCATCGGCGTTATAAAAATGTGTTCCCTAAATACATACTCTTGGTTCTTTTGGTAAAGTCACGTAGGTGAAATAAAAAAATGATAAAATAAAATATAGAAATAAATAAATCACGACGTTTCGATTGCAACACAAGCAATCATCATCAGGTGTGACAACCACAGCAAGAATATTTTGATGAAAACACCTGATGATGATTGCTTGTGTTGCAATCGAAACGTCGCGCTTTATTTATATATTTATATATTTATTCGCCTACGTGACTTTACCGAAAGAACCAAAGAGTATGGATCCTTGCAGTCACGAAAACTTCAAATCCCTAAATACATGTCGCGTTATATCCCATTCGCGTCATGAAAACTACACGTTACAGGAGAACAGACCGTGTATGTATACATATATTTAAACTACAAGTGTGTAACCACTGTCGTACACACTCCAAGTGCTTTCACATGCTCGGGTCGTAAGGCATTTGTAAGTCAGAGTGCGCCGCTATCTGCCAAGTCACTGGGTGGGCGCGCCTACTCAGCTGGGCCGCATCCCCCTGGTTAAGGAGGATCACATTCCATCTAAACCATTCCATTGGCCTGCTGCCGTCTATATAATATTTATATATTTTAGATTTTACCAGGTAATGACCACGGAGCTGCTACGTAGCTCTTTTTCAGAAGCGAACCCGCCATCACAAATGGCAGCTCAACGAAGTGGCTCGCCATCATCCGGAAATGTACACAAGCAGCCAAATACTCCGAACGCGTGATGTTTCTGAAACGTGGAGTGAAACACTTGTTCGTAGTGCAGCGTGCTTACTGTTGCATCACCGCTCCTCCAAGCTCTACCCCACCACACACAACCAGCCAATCAATTGCGGCGTTGTTCATTTTAACCGCCGGGTGGACAGAGGCGAGGGGTCGGGGGCGGGATTGAAGAAACCCATGCCTTGTTTCAACTAAAATTCAACTCTTATTTCTAATGATATCACGCATTACGCAACGTACAAAAAATGATTCGCCCGAGAACACTATGTAACATAATTTTTGTGCCTGGGTAGTGTTATTTTGTAATTGCTTATGCCTCAAAAGTACGTAAAATGGCTATTATTCCCCACAAACTTTGCTTTTGTGACCAGGACAGTGATATTTTCAAATGTACCTATTTTCAATGATAAAACTGGAAAACATATGAATCAAAATGAACATGTATTTATACTAAAGCAAGACAAAATTGACTACAAAATATTTAGAAGTGAGTAGTTGCAATGGCGGAGCCAGGGTTTTCAGGTAGGGGGGGCAACCCCTCCAGCAATGAAAAATTATAGGAGTTGTTAGTAAATAAGGACTTGTGCCTTGCTTTTTATTCGACGCGTGCGCGGCGATGGCACAGCCATCGATCGAGGGTCGAATTCGAACCGCGTTGTGTGATCGGCATCGCGCTCGCTGAAGGTGTTGATGCCTTCAGGGAAGTCGTGGACTCTGTATACGCAACTGCGCACAATTCTGTGAGTCACTTATAACTGCTTTGCCGTTACTTATTGCCAATTATGATTCCTTGTAAAAGGTTTCATTTTGGTGTTTTAACATCTTAACACCTATATTCTTGGTTCTTTCGGTAAAGTCACGTAGAAGGGAAACCGAAAGAACCAAGAATATGAATCCCTGCAGTCACGAAAGCTTTAAATCAAAATCTTAACACCTGTTTTGTTGCCAGAAACAAGAGGAAAACCTATTCTCATATTTTGGTACTGGCAAAGGAGGTCCCATGAAGTGAGTAGTATTTCGAGATTTATGATTATACTGTAAATCACTTTCACGAATCAGCCCCCAAATGTAGTCTCCCATCATGTTCTCGTTATACCGTCCTTGGTAGTGGCGTTCAAAGTCCAGTATATCCTGGTGGAAGCGTTTGCCTTGCTCCTCCGAGTATGCTCCCATGTTCTCCTTGAATTGATCAAAATGAGCATCAAGGATATTGACATTGAGGAACATCCTACAGCCCATTGTGCCGTAGTTCTTCATCAGAGTCTCAACCAGCTACACATAATTTTCGACGTTGTGATTGCCCAGGAAGCCACGAACCTCTGCGACAAAGCTGTTCCAATCGCTTTCTCCTTACCAGTGCCTTTTTGGGGAATTAATTGCACTCCAGGATCTTCTTTATATGCGGTCCGACGAAGACACCGGCTTTGACCCTTGCCTCAGACAGCTTAGGGAAGAAGTCTTGAAGGTACTTGAAGGCTGCCGAGTCCTTATCTACAGCTCTGACATATTGTTTCATAAGGCCCAATTTGATGTGCAGTGGTGGCATCAGCACCTTCCGGGGGTCCACCAGTGGCTTACACTTGACGCTGTTCCTCCCCACAGAGAACTCGGTCCGCTGTGGCCAGTCCTGCCTGTGGTAGTGCGCCTTGGTGTCCCTGCTGTCCCAAAGGCAAAGATAGCAGGGAAACTTGGTAAAACCGCCTTGGAGACCCATCAGGAATGTCACCATTTTGAAGTCTCCGATGACCTCCCAGCCGTACTCATCATACTTCAAGGCATCCAGCAAGGTCTTGATGCTGTTGTAATCCTCTTTGTCCTCTTTGAGATGCACCGAATGAGCCAGGGGAAGAGACGGGTACTTGTTACCATGATGGAGCAGCAAGGCTTTGAGGCTCCTGGATGAGCTGTCAATGAAGAGGCGCCACTCATTCTGGTTACAGGCGATTCTGATTGACTCGAACAGACTGGTCACATTGTGGCAGAAACAGAGCCCATCTTGACGGGTGAAGAAGTTGCAAAAAGGTTGGTGACACTTCCTCTGATCTGCGACTTGCACACTTTCATCCAACAAGTTCCACTGCTTGAGCCTAGACGTCAAAGGCTCGGCATTGGACTTGGTGAGACCAAGATCCCTGATCAAGTCGTTGGGGTGTTTTTGGTTGAGGTAGTACGGGTTTCTCTCCTCAGCTCCATCTGGATCTACAACGTCTTCCTCGCTCTCTGATTTGCTGCTCTCTTCTAAAGATGGCTGCTCTCTCTCCGGAGGAGTGGGTACGGGGAGCTCATGGCAGTGTGGCACCGGGGCGATGGATGAAGGAAAGTCCGGATACATGATAGCAGGTGCGTTCTTGCCAGTCCAACGTTTGGAAGGGTCCACCATGTAGAAGTAGCAGTTGCTTGAGTGGTCAGTGGGTTCCCGCCAAATTCTTGGACAGCGAACTTCATGGCTCTCTTTTCCCCTCTGTACCATCCTACAAAAATAAATTAATTTCACCCATGACTAATGTGTAAGAGATTCATATATGATATATTTTTTCAATAACACTTAAAATTGTAAAACATAAAAACTTTTACAATTTGAATTTTTGTTATAACATTAAATTTCGAGCAACAATTTTCCATCTTACTTTCCAGTTTTTTTTTGCATTGCTTGCAGGTGAAATGAGGTGCCCAGGATTTGTCTTGATCTCTGACAGGCTTGCTGAAATAGGCATTGTAGGCCTCACACATCCTAGTAGATACTTCCAGAGTACTTTTTCGCTCTTGTCTTGATAAATTGGCCACAGACATAGCAAATTGCGTCTGCCGGATGCTTGCAGCCTCTTCATGCCATTTCAAAAAAAGTAAAGATATGTATCTACTTAGGCAGCTGGAACTAAACTGAACTGGTAGGCTTAAGGCCCCTGTATTTATAAACCTATTTATATTACTGGAACGTTCTAAAATGTTCGAGAAGTTGCTCCAAGTTTACTCAGCACTGAATCTATCTGGAATGTCTGGAAAACAGGTAAATTTCAAAATATCACTGTCCTGGTCACAAAGCAAAGTTTGTGGGGAATAATAGCCATTTTATGTACTTTTGAGGCATCAGCAATTAGGAAATAACACTTACTACCCAGGAACAAAAAAAAGAAAAAAAATAGTTCCACAGTGGAATTAACGGCGATTCACAACGCTTTTGCGCGGCCTCCCTGTGTCTCTTGGTGGACCCTGCGACGCAAAAGCCGCACCCTCCGGCAGGGCGGCCAGCTGGAGACTCACCGGAGAGCCTGAGATCGACGGCGCGATCCGAGAAGGTGAGGTTCACGCGGAAACTGCTCAGGTTGAACTCGGGGGCGCTCAGGGAGAGTGGCTGCTTCTTCCCCAGGTAGTCGTAGAATCCTCTCCACGTGTGGTTCTCGGCGAAGATGCTGTCGGGCACTGTGGCCGCGGGAGGTGAGAGGTCACGGCAAAGCGGTTGTGGTTACGCCGAGGAGTTGTGGGTACGACAAGGAGTTGTGGGTACAAGGAGTTGTGGTTACGACGAGGTGTGGTTATGACGAGGAGGTGTGGGTATGACGAGGAGTTGTGGGTACGACAAGGAGTTGTGGTTACGACGAGGTGTGGTTATGACGAGGAGGTGTGGGTATGACGAGGAGTTGTGGGTACGACAAGGAGTTGTGGTTACGACGAGGTGTGGTTACGACGAGGTGTAGTTACGACGAGGAGGTGTGGGTATGACGAGGAGGTGTGGGTATGACGAAGAGGTGTGCACATGACGAAGAGGTGTGCACATAACGAGGAGGTGTGGGCATGACGAGGTGTGGTTATGACGAGGTTTGGTTATGACGAGGTTTGGTTATGACGAGCTTTGGTTATGACGAGGTGTGGGTATGCAGGACTAACAGCACACAACACGTGACGCGAGAGTAAATGGGTGAAGATTCGAAGGCAACGTTTATAATTTATGGCCCCTTGGTAACCCACTGCTGGATGAAAAGTCTCCCCAACGCCATTTCGGTCACAGCGGTTTTTTGACCGCTGGTCAACGCACGTCCGTTAATCTGGGGCCGCCAGATCTGGTTCCGCTGTCGCTCACCACTGCTGTTAGCCTTTGTCAAGAATAAAACTCGGGCCACCAGGTCCATAGCGCAGTGCAATAACCACCGAACCCACCGCTGCCCTGACTCATCTCTCAACGAGACCCTCTAAGGAACGTCTCTCGCATGTGAAATCACGAGTCTGCGAATGTCCTCCTGCCAGACAAACGCGCGCTGTCCCGAGTTTCCCGAAGCTGCTGGAGGAACGGGGAAGTGACCCGAGACAACGACATCACATCGTCTGGTGGCTGCCCGCGCGTGCCACGAGCGGGCCACTTGGAGGCGATTGCGCGGCAAAGCGCGCGGCTGCCTCAAGATGCGATTTACACACCGAGCTGCCGTGTGACATGCAGCGGTGCCAAATGCCTTCGCAAGGAAAGGCGAAGTTTAATGATACTTACATTCTTTTGGTCTTTCGGTGAAGTCACATAGATAGAAAATAATAAAAAAACGTTTCGATTGCAACACAAGCAATCGTCTGCAGGTAAGAAAATGTATTTCTTCGACGAGTAATTGTGGGTCTTCAGGTGGGAAATGAATTTTCTCACCTGAAGACGATTGCTTGTGTTGCGATCGAAACGTCGTGATTTTTATTATTATTTTTCTATCTATGTGACTTTACCGAAAGACCCAAAGAATATGAATTCCTGCAGTCACGAAAGCTTTAAGTCAAGATTTAATGATACCTCTGACGAATGTGTAACTAGATCTCTCAATGCAGGGTGATCCACTTGTAAATTTATCCACCACTGATTTCTAATAACCCTCGGCTGCCTTCTCCAAAAGGTGACGAAACACTACGAGAGTGATGGGGCTCCGTATGTTGGGGAAAATAACCTGTTGCGATATCTGCAAAACTATGAACCGTTAACATCCCATACATTTCGATATACAGTGAGGGAAAAAAGTATTTGATCCCCTGCTGATTTTGTACGTTTGCCCACTGACAAATAAATGATCAGTCTATAATTTTAATGGTCGGTTTATGAACAGTGAGAGACAGAATAACAACACAATCCAAAAAAACGCATATCAAAAATGTTATAAATTGATTTGCATTTTAATGAGGGAAATAGGTATTTGACCCCCTCTCAATCACAAAGATTTCTGGGTCCCAGGTGTCTATCATACAGGTAACGAGCTGAGTTTAGGAGCACACTCTTAAAGGGAGTGCTCCTAATCTCAGCTTGTTACCTGTATAAAAGACACCTGTCCACAGAAGCAATTAATCAGATTCCAAACTCTCCACCATGGCCAAGACCAAAGAGCTCTCCAAGGATGTCAGGGACAAGATTGTAGACCTACACAAGGCTGGAATGGGCTACAAGACCATTACCAAGCAGCTTGGTGAGAAGGTGACAACAGTTGGTGCGATTATTCGCAAATGGAAGAAACACTAAATAACTGTCAATCTCCCTCGGCCTGGGGCTCCATGCAAGATCTCACCTCGTGGAGTTGCAATTATCATGAGAACGGTGAGGAATCAGCCCAGAACTACACGGGAGGATCTTGTCAATGATCTCAAGGCAGCTGGGACCATAGTCACCAAGAAAGCAATTGGTAACACACTACGCCGTGAAGGACTGAAATCCTGCAGCGCCCGCAAGGTCCCCCTGCTCAAGAAAGCACATATACATGCGCCTCTGAAGTTTGCCAATGAACATCTGAATGATTCAGAGGACAACTGGGTGAAAGTGTTGTGGTCAGCTGAGACCAAAATGGAGCTCTTTGGCATCAACTCAACTCGCCGTGTTTGGAGGAGGAGGAATGCTGCCTATGACCCCAAGAACACCATCCCCACCGTCAAACATGGAGGTGGAAACATTATGCTTTGGGGGTGTTTTTCTGCTAAGGGGACAGGACAACTTCACCGCATCAAAGGGACAATGGACGGGGCCATGTACCGTCAATTCTTGGGTGAGAACCTCCTTCCCTCAGCCAGGGCATTGAAAATTGGTCGTGGATGAGTATTCCAGCATGACAATGACCCAAAACACACGGCCAAGGCAACAAAGGAGTGGCTCAAGAAGAAGCACATTAAGGTCCTGGAGTGGCTTAGCCAGTCTCCAGACCTTTTCTGGATTTTTTGTTGTTTTTCTGTCTCTCACTGTTCAACTAAACCTACCATTAAAATTATATACTGATAATTTCTTTGTCAGTGGGCAAACGTACAAAATCAGCAGGGGATCAAATACTTTTTTTCCCTCACTGTATATAACAAAAATAAACCTCTGGTAGGTATTCTGCGCATAAAGAAAATTAATTTGCGATCACTTTTTAAAGTATATTTGACATTGCCAGCCTTGTTAATATTGACAAGCTTTTATCTTCAAAGAAAACTAAGCTGCAATTATTTGCTGACGTGTGGCCTCATTGAAGCCATAAGACATGACTTCTCCACAATTTCAATTCTAAATGAATACCCTGCAGACCTTTCCTGCAGATCTTCTCTGCATTCCCAGGTCGAGGCTTCCATCTATGGGTGACCGAGATTTTTCCCCGTGTAGCCCCCAGGTAATTAAACACTTCCAAGAGGTATCAGGGATCTGTCAGAGTCTGTGGACATGTTTAAAATGCGTTTTAAAACCTATTTATATACCCTTCAGCTTATTAAACTTTTAGGTCATTTCGTAAATGGATTATTAAAATGTATTTATAATATGATTTTTATGCTCAGTGTTTGCTGCTGCTGCGTCCTGCACAGCACTTTGAGATCCTTGATGAAAGCTGCTATATACAATTAATTATTAATCATTATTATTATTACTCCATACTCTCAGAAACAAAAGATAGAAAACCCCCACGGAAAAATGCGAATACATTTCGGGATGAACGTAACGAGGCTAAAGCATGCTGACAATCACCCGCTGGCTTGAATCCGGTCGTCCCAAGTAGAGACACGCTCGTCTTCTCCTTCTGCTTTATTCCAGCTGCAAACAAGAAACAATGATCTCATTGCAATCGTGAACAAACAAAACACGCGTCATCATCGTCATCGCCATCATCACGTCGCAGTTGCACTGCGCATCACGCTAATCGTACCTCAAAGGCTCAAACGCCTCTATAATTGGAAGGGAGGCAGCTAAGCTGCCAGAAGTGAGTGCGCTATCATTGCACATCAACTGCGAAAGATCGTTATGAGAAAATCAGTGAGAGCCGTTGCGGTGAGGTGGCCTCAATGTACTGTGACACAACCGCCTACACGAGTGTCTCAGTCAACCGGGAGCCATGGGCTCAGAGACAGGCGAATTGCATCTCAATGACACACAGACTTTTTTTTAAACGAGCCTCAGCACATTTATTTTGCAGAAGAAAAAAACCCCTAAAATATGCAAATTAACACGAACACTGGGATATTATTCTCGCTGGGAAATATTGCGAACTGGCACATTACATATTCAGAATTGTTCTCAACATGTAATTCCCTAGCTGACATGTACATTAACGTCGGCACTGGTTTTTATGACGTTACAAAAGTAAATTATTATTTTTTATTTTAAAGCAAAACAAGGCTCTTTGATGCTTTAATCCTGCAGCTGCGACTCGAATTTTACGATCTGCGCTAGAAAGGTGCAGCCTGATTTTCACGGGAAAGTGCGGCCGGGAATGTGCATCCGGGAACATGCAGCCGTGAGTGTGCAGTCGGGAATACAGCGTGTAGCCACACGTGCGCGTGGCGGGGTGCAGAAGTGCGGTTTGCGGGCCCCGAACACGATTCGCCGGTCACGAGCAGCATGCTGCGGTGGTGAGCCCTCAGCCTGAACTGCCCCGCACCACCGCCCGTTGCTTATAAACGAGTCTGATTCATCGTCAGCCACGGTCGATCCACTGCTGGCTCAAGGCCGCCGCCATCTCTCGCTGGCCCACGGTGTAATAATCCACCTGGCACGTCCCCGTGAGACGATTTCACCAAATATGCAGCTTCATGCAGAGGAGGCGTTCTCGGCCAATATTATCTATAATAGGGGTTTTTGGGTGTAGATGGCGTAAATATAAATGTCGTTAAGCCCGCCACCACCCGACACAGCCAACAAGTAAGGTTTGTCACGTAAAAAAACGTGCCACTTAGTTACTAGTGCAGCACATCGGTTGTGTGTTGGAGAGGAAACCCACTACGACATTCACAATTCGAGCACCGTGACGTTTCGCTGGTAATTACAACAACCAGCATCATCAGGCGACAGCCAGAAACCCTCCTCCTGTTACGGTCTTAAATAGAGGGGTACATGTGGCGTCGTCACTTGTGAGCCAATCACATGCAAGGACTAGAGGCTGTACCAAAAACGAAAGAAGGCGTAGATATGTCATCCTTAGCTGACACATTCTGGTAAGATGCGGAGGTTTGTCAATGCAAGGTCAGTGTGGTTGGTGGTATCCTTTCTTGAGTTCCGCAAGATGTTTGCAACATGGCACTTGCATATTCAAGTGATCGGTAAATGTGTCATTCTGTCACCGATGTCAGAATGTTTAAAAGAGGAGACCTTTAAAAAGAGCTGGTGTAATGGCTTAGACCTTTTCCAGTCATTAACCAATGTTTCTGGACCTGTCTCAGATAAAACTTAAGCCAGCGAGGCTATCTGAAAGCTCAGAAGCACGATCTGGGAGAGAGGAAATCTGGAGGTTGTTGACCTAGTCGGCAGGATCAGGGTTGTCAAATATTTTCCCAAGCAGCACGAGTATCACACACGGCCCCACTGAGCCAGGGCGATGAGGTATTTGTGTGAGAGACAGCCAGATCCGAGGAGTCTGCCAATATAAAGTGGTGATCCTAGAAGGCAGCGACACTCACTATATATAAACAACAAATACAAGTTTTAGAATTACAAGACTCTCTAAGTATGTGGTTTCACGATGCTGGACGTATACACACTCATATATGCATGTTGAACTTCTTTTGCGCCGTACGTAGACAACCATGCTGTATATGACTACAGTATTATACAAATGCTATGTAATAATTATAATAAATGTTCAGCCCTCTGTCAAGCTACTGTTGAAGGCTTCCCCATGCTGGCTGTCAAATCCACAATGGTCAATCGATCGTGTGTCAATTTATTTTAGTGAGACCACAAATAACGTGAAGGCAGTGGAGGGGGGTGGGGTTGAGGGGGAAGGGGGGGGTTGAGGGTTGAGGGGTGGGGGTTGAGGGGGGTGAGGGGGGGTTGAGGGGTGGGTTGAGGGGGTTGTGTGAGGGTTGAGGGCAGTGAAGGGGGTTGAGGGGTGGAGGGGGTTGAGGGGGTTGTTGCAAGGGGGGGGGGGAGTTGAGGCGTGGGGGGGGGCCTCACTTTCTCCCAAACCCAGCAGGAGCGGGCGGCCCTCACCGTGACAGAGGGGCGGCTTTCCCGACCAGGCACCCTCGGGGTCGCAGGTGCGGTGCTCCGAGCCGCCGCTCAGGTAGTAGCCGGGCTGGCACGAGTAGAGCAGCGTGTAGCCCAGCTGCGCGACGTCCTGCGCCCGGACGTCGGCGTAGGCTGGAGTCTCCGGCTGGCTGCATCTGTGCGCTGAAAAACGCGCGCCGACAAAGGTCCCCACGGGGGGGGAGGGGGGGTTCCCACGCTCGCTCTGTTGGCTGGCCACCTCCAAAAATAGGCCGGGGCGGGCAAATTCGCGTGCGCCATTCGGCGTCGGAAAAACGCGCGACGGGCGCCGTTGCCGCTCCCGGTCGGCGTTTGCTCTGCTCCTGATGTCAAAGTGGACGTCCGCGTAAAAAAAGAGCTTCGTAGCTCGTCAGATTCCTACGGCGTGAATAAACTGCTTCTGATTCTGAAACCGTAGAATGCAAGGTTGGGGGTGAAACATCGATCGACAGCGAGGCCACGCGAATTTTGCGGCGAGGCTGCGATTGTAAATGCGGCGAGCCCGCTGTCCCTGATGCGACCGTTCGTCGGGCCCAAGCAGATTGGCAAATGTCTCCTAAGGTTCGTTCCGGCTGCCCCCTGACCTCATGATGCGCGACGTCACCTCGTTCGGGGCCCGGAAGTTAACGTTACGATTGCAAGTCAACCGCGGCACGGTCATTACCGAGGACAATCGCACGTTGGAAGCCTTTACGGAACGCGTGCATTAGCAGGCACTGTTCCTCTTTGTTTTTTTTAGGACCGATATAAAAATCTGTAAATAATGAGAAACCCGAACATTAAAAAACACATCACACAGCAAGCACTGATGACCGTAACAGATAAGTCCCAATGAGGGTGCAAGTGGTCTAAGGTTAAGTCTTTGTGTCACTGCTGCCCGTTGTTGGTTACGGCCACATTTTCTCCAACTCGTGGAGCCTGCGGTGGTCCAAACGACAGAGCGAATGAGCAAGTGACTGGGTGAGTGACCGGGTGAGTGACCGGGTGAGTGACCGAGTGAGTAACCGGGTGAGTGACGAGGTGAGCGACTGGGTGAGCGAGTGTGCTCAGCTAATTTTTTGCGTTCAGCCCTCTTGAGCCAGCGGTCTAAGCGAGGCCGAGAGCTTTCGAACGGTGGCAGGACTTGCGTGCTGGACACAAGGCTGTAATGGCGAGGAACGTACAGACACACTCGGGCTGGAGGCCATTCCACGTGAGGTCGGGGAGGCAGGTCCGAGTACTTGACCCCTGGATGTGGAACCCCTTCTTGCACTCGAATGACACGGTGCTCCCAACCTGGCGTCGTTTTTGTAAGGAAAAACCAAAAAGGGAAACAAAGCAGACAACGCTTGTTGAAGCAGGAGTGGGAGAAAAGGCGCAGCACAGAAATTGTTTTATTTTTCACGCCACAGGCTCGCAGAGGGGGCCTGCACTCGATGGAGCTCTGGACAGCTGGCCAGATGTTTCTAAAAAAAACTAAACTATGTTTTTATTTTACCAGGCAAGGCCCATTGCGCTATGTAGGACTTTTTTGAGAAGCGACCCAATCATCACAAATGACAGTTCAGCGAAGCGGCTTATCACGTGGACATTTATAGCGGTGGTCAAATACTCTAAACGAGTGACGTCTATTCTAAATGTGGAGGGAAAAACCGCAGGACCCGGAGAAAAATCCACGAGACCATGGGGAGAGAGACACGTAAACTCCAAATATACAGCAGGCGGCAGGTTCGGTTCGGGAACGAACCCACGATCTCCCGTATACTAGGTGAGGGAGTTAACATCTCGCCATCATCGGGCACCACGGCTCAATGTGGGCTACGCACGCCACTGCGGTGAAGCCGTTTACATTGCCGGGTGGACAGAGATGAGGGGGGGTGGGATGATTTAAGAAGCTTGCACCGTTGTTTCAACTGCCGAGCCGGGAGATTGAACCCGCAACCTCTGGATTGCAGGTCCAGGGGATGTGAACGCGTTACACTGCGGCAGCCGATGCTGCAGTTGGATGAATACAACATGGGGGAAGAAGATCGCTGGTGTAGACATTGCCTGATATCCCAGGGAGAAGTTCTGAAATCCGTTGTGAGGCGTGCCGGGGTTGGTGCAGGTCGTGTGAGATGCTTCTGTAAAAAGAGGACACGGTTTGCAGACAGAAGCAAATATTGTTTCCGTTTCCAAGTCACCATCCTTATACCTTTGCATTTAAGCTCAACCTCCAACAGGGCAGGGTCTTATTTTATTTTGAGTCAAAATCAACATAGTCGTTATACTAGCTCTTCATTTTAAAATGGAGGCTTTCACGACCAATATCATCCATAGGGGTTTTTTTTGGGTTAGATCGCGTAAATATATAAATGTGTCGTTAAAACCCGCCACCACCCGACACAGCCAACTAGTAAGGGTTGTCACGTAAAAAGAACATGCCAATTTGTCACAAAGACAATGCATGTATCAGAGCATTAATAGCTCGGGGCGAGCAGCTATATCATATATATTATATATTTTTAATACTTTGATACTGGCAAAAAGGTCCCATGATGTACATAATAACGCCTGTCGTTTTCATTGTGGCACGTGCCAACACAAAGAAACACTTGGTCGTAAACCGCGGGATCAAACTGATGTCACACTCCATCTGTTCACCTCACTGGCAGCTCCATCTCCCTCTCCTCAGGTGCAGGCTTGAGATCTCACTCTTCTCCCCTGCCTGTAGGTGACCATTTCCCTCTGTTCCGTTGTCTTAATCAGCAGAGAAATAATCGTGATCCTGCTCTCCCCCGAGCTTCCTCCTTCACTTCAAATAATAACCCTCATTCCTCCTCTCCCTACCACTATCTCGCAACACGCAAGCCTTAATTGATGTAGAGCTGCTGGGTTGGCTTCTCGGAAGCGTACGCCACGAGGGAGGTAAGCCACCCCCTGCCTTCCATGAGCTTCAGGTAGGCCTCTGCGCCAGGAGGGTTTGCACCTCAATTAGCGCGGGTGGCTACGTACAGTGCGAAGGAGGTTCAACATATGTACGTACATTCCAGTGTACACAGATGGACGGGCCACTACGACAAGGGAACATTTAACTACCTTGGATTGACGATCGTCAACGATGGAAAATCCCTCGAGGAAAGAAAGTCAAGGGCCGCAAAGGCAAAAGCCATCGCCGTCCAAACTTAACCCGATCTGGAATGCCAAGAACGTCTGAAATAGTCACTAGGATCGAAATCGTTGGAGCAGGAGTCTTATCGGTTTTCCTGTATGGATCTGAAACTCGGACAATTACAGCAAATATACGAGAAATATCCCAGCAATGGAAATGAGATGCTTCATAGGACCACTGCGCATCTCGTAGGCCGCACCAAAAGATTGATTCAGTCGAGTGCGTGCAGCGATAACAAGAATAAATTAGAGATCACAGCCGACGACGGTCCGTGAAATCCAGAAAAGCGAAGTGGTACGGACCACGTCAGCAGAGCTACGAAAACAGTAACGACCACCGTCCTGCAAAGGTGGAGGAGAGGGAACAGGGAGAGGTGGGAACACCTCCAATGGACTGACATTGTGGAATGGATCAGCTGTTCTGCGGACACCACCCAAAGGCTGGCCAAGGTTGGGTGTACACTGACGGAGGCAACAGCAGTGATGCCCCAATGACCACAAGTCTGGGGACGGACAAGACTACCTTGTGTACAGAATCTTTAGACTTAGTCGCACGACGTGGGCAATTTACTAATTCAAATGGTGTTGAATTTCACTTTATATAATTTAACTGCGGTAGTTTGTAGTCAACTCCACTCCACGCGGCTCCAGTCTCCATTTGTCCTTTGAAACATTTCCTGCAAGGTTTTCCATTCCCGAAAGAGCCATGCATCTCAATTAGGGATTTGAAGCTGGTAAAGTGATGCCCACGTGGATGCATCTGTCAACAGTGGCCTCTGCTCGCAATGCCCCCAGGGTGGGAAAAGAGATGACGATGGGAGGAGGCAATGCCACAGTGGAGCAGTCCGAGGGAAAGAGGCAGTGGGAAGTGAGGTGACTCGCAGTGCGGTGAGTGAGTGATAGGTTGGGAGAGTGAGTGTGGCGAGTGGGTGAGTGAGCGTGTGGAGGGAGAGAGAGAGGGGGCGGGACGCACCGATGCAACGCGGCTGAGTGCCGCTCCACATCCCGCTGGCCATGCACACGCGCTTGGCAGAGCCGACCAGCACCAGCGGAGAGGCGCACGTGAAGGAGACCTCCGATTGGAAGGTGAAACTCCTGCCTTGTCGCTCGCCGTTGGCGGGGACGCCTGGGTCTCCGCAGAACATGGCTGTCGAAATGAATGGCACATTTGTTTGGATACACACGTACCATCCATATATTTCATCCGCTCGTGTTGATGGGGCTCGTGTCACCCAACTGCGACCGCTCACCACAATATGGGGCACACGCAACACAACACCCGGCATTCGCCGCTAAGTGACAGTGACATCACCACGGCGCCTGTGCCAGGCCCGCTGCTAGCAGGTCACGGGACAGACCCAGGTAAGTGACTGAGATGACTGGCAGATGCACCAGCTGTGCCCCCTACTGTGCCAACTGTGGAAATACAGGGCACAACTACTCCCCACGCTCACTCGCCACTCCCCACGCTCACTCGCCAACTCCCCACACTCACTCGCCCACCCCCCACGATCACTCGCCACTCCCCACGATCACTCGCCCACCCCCCACGATCACACGCCCACTCCTCACACTCACTCACCACACCGCAGGTCACCTCTCTCGCACCGCTCCACTTTGGAACCGCCACCTCCTCCCATCGTCTCTTATACCAAGTTCTCATTACCTCGCTCAATATTAAGAGACGTGTTCACTATTTTTTATCAATCACAACTCTAAGAGTGCCATTTGTTGCTGCCCATTTGGCGTTTTTGGGCCTTTGGGCCTGTGAATCGGCAATTGAGTAAAAACAAAACACCTGAATTGATGGAGCGCAGACCGTCAATGATATATGACTGCGGGGCTTCTGCAGGCTATTAAATTGTCATTATTTTCAAAGATGTTAAACATAAAAAATATATTACTGCAAAAAAAATTAGCTCTTTTTAAATATTATTTAAACCATCAAAAAATGCCGTGTATCTTTCATCAGTTAGCAGCCTTATTCTTACATGTGTGTATATATGTTTTGTTTAAAGCTACAGAAGACCGATGAGAACGGCTGTGCACAGTGGCCAGCGTGTTTTGCCTTCACTCCGAGAGAGCCCGCTTCCTCACTGTGGCCACACTCGTGTCCAACGCGTGGCAATGAATGTCAACAAAGACAAACATCGCCCCATCTAGCCTTCACAAACTGTTGGGGCAAGTGCTGTTCGCGAGCACCTATGAAGACCGGCATGGTACACGAGGGGGATGGGTGGCCAGCACCACGCCCGACCACCTTTGTCTCACCAGTGGCGATGCTTACACACCGCACCAGGTACTTATTTGAGGCTGAGTCGACGTAGGGGAGGCCCAGGACAGGTTCAAATAATCGTCAGTGGTGTTGGGCATGAGTGGGAATCGAACTCGGGTCACCGAGTTCACAGCACAGCGCACTAACCACTACACCACTGCTCCCCATATCTTCACAGACACACAGACATGCACGTAAACAGACACACAGACACGCAGACACAGAGACACGAACGTAAACAGACACGAACGTAAACAGACACACAGACACACAGACACGCATGTAAACAGACACACAGACACGCACGTAAACAGACACACAGACACGAACGTAAACAGACACACAGACACGCACGTAAACAGACACACAGACACGAACGTAAACAGACACACAGACACGCACGTAAACAGACACACAGACACGCACGTAAACAGACAAACTCACACTGCGTAGACTCTCACGAGGCAGGTGGATGGGAGTGGGCCACCAGCACTGCCGTATGAACCCAGTGACCTAAATTTGATTCCTGGCCATGGCTAGCATCAGTTATCGCTGAGTGATATCCGGATGGCTCTCGGGCCCCTTGCCATAGAAGGCGGAGTCGACAAACTGCCCAGCGAGGTGATATGGGAATGAGGCGGATAGTACATTCATATAAAGCGGTGATGTATCATCAAACGAACCCATGCCTGATAAACACTTGCGAGGCGTTTCCCCAACAGTGTAATGAGATGCGGCTGTAAATTCTATATTTTTTATTAACAAGGGGGTAAAGTCTTCATTTTGTCTGTCTGTATATGTAATGTTGAACTTCTTTCACATCGTACGTAGCAAACCGTGCTAATCGGAGGTGCGCTTTGGCTAGTGATCTCGGCATTCTGCCGGAACAGCCTTTAGAACTATCTTTGACATCTCCTTATTATCTTAAGTTCGGTTAGCTACGTATGGTGCGAAAGAGGTTCAAAGTACATACATAGATAATAATACTAAATTAACGCCCTTATTCAATCCACTGCCTTAGGGTGGTGGTGCAGTGATTCAGAAACTGCGGTATGAACCTGGCGACTTTGGTTCAATCTACAGCCAAGGTGAACATCAGCGGCAATGCGGTGTCATAGCGTGTGCTCTGCATATTCTCTAGGGGTGGCTTCGCCTTAAATTGGCTGCAGGATATTTCTTTGCGGATTTGGGTGGCACCCTTCACGCTTGATGAATCGGGCTAAAAACTATTCCATTCGTAATTCCGGGTAACTCCAGAATTCCGCATATGTGGGAAAACAAACTCGACTTGAATTGGATTATGAGTCACCCAGATCTTATTATCACTACGTAATCTAACAACTGCTGTGCAAACTCTGGTGTGAAAACCGCGCATCTAAGTATCAAGTTCATAGTTTTCAGTAATCTAAATATAGTGGTTTCAGAACAACCAGTTCATAAAACCACTAAAAATTTGTTTTATTATTTTATCAGGTAAGGCCCACTGAGCTATATTGCTCTTAATCAGAATGACCTGGCCACAAATGACAGCCCAACGAAGTGGCTTATCACTTGGACATGTATAGCAGCCAAATCATGTAAAAGCATGTTTCGCTACTGATGTATGCTGCGGCTAACAGCCAAACTTAAGTTGTGGGTTCAATCTAGATTTTAAGTTTTCGTGACTGCAGGGATCCATACTCTTTGGTTCTTTCGGTAAAGTCACGTAGGTATAAAATAAAATAAATTAAATCACGTTTCGGGCACAACATAAGCGTCCGTCATCATAACATAAGTACACAAATTCCTGACGATTTGTCAACACTAATTGCAAGCTTGGGCAAGGCAGCAAAACAACAACAGTCCCAGACCACACCAAGACAACAACACACAGCACTAGTGCCTCAATGAAATGGAAAATTTTAATTGAACTATCAATACACGGGTAAGGATCACCTCTTTCTGTGTCTGTTCAAGGGTGTTGTTTCCCTGTCTGCTTCTCTGTACCGATGTCTATGTCCACCTTTGAGTCGATCTCTACGTGCTGTATGTCGATAATGCCTTTCATTCCCTCTGTCGATGTTTGCCTCCCTGTCTATCTAGGCATGTCTATTCATGTTTGTCTATATATATCGTTCTCTCCTCTGTATTTCTGCCTACCTATTTATCTTTCTACATTTGTATCTGCGTGTCTCTCTGCTTCCACTGCCTTTGCCATTCAGAGTTTCCGCTTCTGCCCCCGTCTCTCTCTGCGTCTACCTCCATGCAACTCCGGCTTCACGTTCATCTCTGTCCCTACGTGGCACAGAGAAGGCAGGGACAAAGTCACAAACCCGTAACGGCTTTTCGATGTGAAACATCTCATCTCAGTTTCCCGCTTTGTGAGGTGGCGGCGGCGACTCAAAGTACGTATGTCCTGCTGAACTTCTTTCGCACCGTACGTAGCCAACCGTGCTCGTCGACCCGTGCGCTGCTGGGAAGAGCCGGCTGTGACCATTCTCACAGCCGGGGGTTGTTGAGCTGTGCGTCACCCTGCAGCCGGGCACTTCTTAAAATTACTCCCGTAAGTTTTAACGTCCAGTTAGATTTTTGGATAATACATTTTTTAGAATGAATGGGGCATGATCTGGGGGTCGACAACCTACGGCTCTGGACGCCGCACGTATCTCTTCAAGGACTGACTTCGTGATGTTATTTATCCAGGACCATCGTCTCTTATTCACCACGGGCATTGCACGCTCTTTTACTGAATTCGAAAAAAAAAGTATCTTGTTATTTTGGTTGCCGACCCCCCAATGGGCACGACCGTGGCGGTCCTTCTCACTGCAATGTTTTTATTTTCTGGATGTTACCACGAGGTGGCAGCAGGTGCATTCGCTGCGCGGACGCCCGCGGAACAAAACCTACGCACGGGCTCATGTAAAAGGTCGGGGTGGGTCACGGGAGGGCATCATCATCGCCGGGGGGCCCCGACAATAAACGAGACCGCCTCACTCTTTCAGGGCCAAGTCATTTCATCCACACACCACCGCATTACCTGCTAAAGCTCAGCGAACGTGTTGAAAATCTCGAAAGATTCGCGGCAAAACTTAAACAACCGCGTCACTAAATATCGTCGTGCCTAATTCGTCGGTCGCGAGCCGGCGTCGGGGGGGTGGCAATGAAAACAAACGGCGGTGAAGCTCGCGGGGGCGGCGTGGCGGCGCCGGGACTCACGGAGGCACTGAGGGAGCTCCCCGGTCCATTCCCCGCGGCCCTCGCAGAACAGCGTGGCGCTGTGCGAGAGCTGGTAGCCCGCGAGGCAGCCGTAGGCGACCGCCGAGCCCCAGGTGAAGTCGCCGCTCTCCCGTCTCCCGTGCATCACGACAGGCGGCTCCTGGCACCGGATGACTTCACGGGCAACGGCACACCGTTCGGTTTGGGTGCGCGATCAGTCATGGGTGGGTGGGGTTGGGGGGGCGGGTGGGTTTGACCGTACTTCACCACGCTGATCGGTGCGGGTTGGCGAAGAGAGCACGCGTTATGGGATGCTGTTAACATGAATGACGCTATATAAAATGAAAGTATTATTACGATATTTAACACGTAAGCTTTCGCGACCAATATATTTTAGTAAGATCGCGTAAATATAAATGTGTCTTTACCCCGCCCCCCACCCCTCTGGTCTTCGCATATGATTACCTCACAAGTGAAGACATCACATCTATCCCTCTATTTAAGACCGAAGCAGGAGGATTTATCCACAAATCTGGCTGTCGCCTGATGAGGCTGGTTGTTGTAATTACCCGTGTGCTGAACTAGTAACGAATTGCCACATTTTGTTTACGTGACAAACCTTACTAATTGGCTCTGTCAGGTGGTGGCGGGTTTAACGACACATTTATATATTTACGCGATCTAACTAACATTATATTATTCTGTTGTCTTGCCTCTCGCCGAGCACCTGACTACTGCGGGTGCCCCTATCCAAGACTCGAGATATTCAGGCCTACGGGCCTTCAAGCCTCTTTCCTCACAAGGTCCATGTCGAGGATTTTACTCAAAACACAACTCCACCTTGCAATTGTGAATGGAGGGTTACGACACATTTATAAATAACGCGATCTAACCCAAAAACCTTTATTATGAACGTGTATGTGCTATTGTTATTAATGTAACTTAAAAAAAAATGCAGATCAAATAGATCACATCAGCCAAAAAGGATTTTGACTGGTGAATGTAAAATGTTAATGGTTTAAATGCTGCTTGTACAAAAATTAGGCTAATGTATATAATAGGAACACAGGAATGATAACGTGCAGGTGTACAAAGAAAGAAGAGGTTGAAATCATAAACAAAAAGCTCGCTGGGGAAGTGGCGATGGGAATCGGGGGGGGGGGGGGTGGGGGGGGATTGTGCGTTGACGTCATCACGCTCGCCCTGCCGAGGGACTGAGCCGACCAATCAGGCTCCCTTTGTTTCACAACAACAGCAGCTGGCATTTGCCACTCACTGGCTGTGATGTCGTCACAGCGGTCGTGCCAGGCTCGATGAAGCGTCGAAGGCTCTCGCTGGCAGGAGGCTACGGGGACCGGGGCTAGGTTGACTGGCTGAGATGACAACAGTCTGTCACGTAAATGTCAACAATGTAAAAAATATATATCGACTTACTTTTACACAGAGGCAGATTTCCAGACCAGACGCCTTCCTTGGTGCAAACACGTTGGCTTTGAGTTGTGGGCTCCATGGTGTAGCCCGGGTGACACCGGTAAGTGACGTTATGGCCAAAGGTGAAGTCCACGCCTGTCCGTACCGCGTTAGCCGGTGTTCCAGGATCGCCACAGGTAATGACTAACACGTAAAGCAAAGCAAACATAGAGCGATCGTTAGTTATCCCTGCGATGTGCACATCTACGCCAGGACGTGTGGCAGAATCCCGAGCTGCAGCTGCATACACCGCGTCAGTTTCAGCCTCTCGGCGTCTCCATCGAGGAGAAGAAAATACATTCTGAAAACCCACCAGAGAGCCACCAGAGAGCCACCCAGCACTGCCGCGAAAGCCTACGCTGCCGCGGGTTTACGCCGTCGTGTGTGTGTGTGCGTACGCCCGTGCATTACCGAAGCAGTAAAAACATCGCCACTGGAGAGACAAAGGAAGTTGGGCGTGGTGTGCCGTGACGGCCTTCACAGGTGTTACTCGCTAACAGCACGTGCCCAATAGTCTGTTAGGGCTACACGAGGGATCTTTGTGCTTGTTACCGATGCAGCTGGGGAGGCTGCCGCTCCACGTGCCGTTGGCGGAGCAGTGGCGCGTGCGCTGGCCCAGCATGCGGAAGCCGTCCCGGCACGCATACGTCACCGAGTCGGGGAACACCGCGCCGGCCCAGCTCGCCATCACGCCGCTCACGGGGATGCCCGGATTCCCGCACGACACCGCTGGGGTCACGAACGCACGCACACATGCACACACGCACAACAAGCACACGCACACACACGCGCGTATATACATGCGCACAGACACACACACACGCGCACATACACACCAGTTACAGTGCCACGCCGAATATGAAAGTAATGTTCACTAAACTCCGCACTTTTAATAAAACTATTTGGACTTACTGCATATATTTATTTCCCAGCCATCCTTAATCCACCGTTAGTAATCCATCTGTGGTTGAAGGTCTCCCCACGCAATTTCAGTCTCATGGGGGTCGTTTGACCATACTTCACCACACTGGGTAGTGTGGGTTTGTGAGGGGGGAAGGGCAGGGCTGGTGATGAGATCAGTATTCACTGCTGTTAGTTATGGTTTCATATCACAGTTCACTCGCATGTCTCATCAGTGAACTCCTCCAGGAGCAGCTTCTGATTAGTCAGATAGAGGGGGCTAAACGGGCTGGAGAAGGGGCGAGCTGATGCAGTACGGGAGGGTAGCACAGCAAAAGGGCACAGTGGGGAGCACAGGTGGTGCAACCCGCCAGTCATCACCATCTGTTAACCCATAACACCTGGGTCTGTCACGTGACCTCCTGCGAGCAAGCACCCTCCACACTTCAAAGATGTCTCCTGGACATCTGTGAAAAAAAGAGCTTCACAGCTCATCGGATTCCGCCAATCTAAATAAAGATTATTGATTCGGACACGGCCTCAAAAGCGCAGCTAGCCTGGCACAAGCGCTGCGGTGACATCGCCGCCACTTTGGTGGCAAAAACGACGGCTGCCGTCACGATCGCTGAAGGGGAGCGCACACTGAAATTGTTCGCGTGCCATTTACCGCGTGCTCAGGACCGCGCGAAGAAATGCATTTGGCCGATCGCTCTGTTTTGGCTGACACCGACTCCTTGGGGCGTCACGTACGGCGCTGGTGTTTACCGCCCGTGCTTTATATTCTCGCCCGCACCTCTGCAGTCTGGCTGCGTCCCCGACCAGCTGCCGTTGGCGAGGCACGAGCGGCGCTCCGAGCCGCGCAGGACGTAGCCGTCGTCGCACGAGAAGCTCACCACGCTCTCCGTCCGGAAGGCACCGCCTCGCCTGGAGCCGTGCGGCGGCACCCCGGGATCCCCGCACGCCCCGTGGCCGTCGCCTGAGAGGCACGATCATCCGCGGGGTCACGTTTGCTCGCTCGCGCTCGCTCAGCACCCCGTCGAATGTTTTGGCGTCACTCCAAATTCATTATTTTGTAATCTTTTCATTTACCTGCCCCCGCCCGCCCACTCACCGCCCCCCCACCCTCTCTCTCGACAAAGCAGAGCAAAATACGTCGGAACACAAGCCCACTCTATACACTTCCCCCCCCCCCCCTACGATTCTGTAGTTGGGATCGTGTTCTTTGTCACGGGCTATAAATCCTCTGCAACATGAGTGAAGTAATCATGCAAAGCACTGGCCTTGAATACGTTGCGTACAATTATCCCAAAGCAATTAGTGTAGGTTCGTCAGGGTGCGAGGTTATGACATCGAATTTAATGCAAATAGATTCACTCTTTTAGGGATTGCTAAAATGCCCTTCCGTCGCCATTTTTTTCCATCATGCGTCGGGGCAATTATGAACCATTAATAAGCAGATAATTAAGATGCCTCCTTGTGCATGCAGGACCCATGGAAAAGCAAGTCTTTTATCCACAGCTCTTAATTTCATTAAATAAACAACCCCCTCTCTGCTTACGCCACGTTTAATTCCCCCCTGTTCTTAATGAGGTTAGTCAGAGTTGAGAAGTGTTATTACAAATCACCATTTAACGGGGTTGATTCTCATACCCATATGCTCTCACACGTGTTTTGAAGCGACGTTTCCGTTGTATGAAAATTAAGTGACGAGGCGGGTTAACGTCGTTGCGACTCCCCGCGAGCACAGCATCAGATGGCATCACGACTACGATGCCACAGAAATAGTGCCGAGTCGTGCCGGTGTCGCTTGAGTGAGCCTCTGAAGGATTTCCCGGTGTGCAGGACTCAACGCATGTGTCGTCAAACTCAACGCGGCGACGCGACCAGCATGAATGTGAACTCGCCATTCACCAACTCAAATGTTAACTACCTCGCCCGGTATAAACGAGGTTGTGGGATAGATCCCGACCCTAACGCCTGCCATATATTTGGAGCTGCGTCTCTCTCTCCCTGTGGTCGTGTGGATTTTTCTCCCGGGTACCTCCACATTTTGAATCAACATCACGCGTTGTAGAGTATTTGGCTGCAAAAAATTGTTACAACCCGCTCACTCATGCTCGAGTAATCCTGCCAAAACGTTAACTTCCCGTCGTTTAGAGTATTTTGCTGCTGCTATAAATTTCCAAGTGATAAGCCACTTCGTTGAGAGACCATTTGTGATGGCCAGGTCGCTTCTGAAAAAAAAAGATACAGCTCAGTGGGGCCTTACCTGGTAAAATAAAAAAAAACAGTTTAGCCTAGTCTTCATTCATCATGTCTCCAGCCACCAGGCCCGCACCTGGTGACCAAGGCCATGACACAGCGAGACCGCTTGCCGTCCACGTCTCTCGTCAATGCGGTGGAGTAAGGCGTTTGTTTCATGCTGCGTCGGTGCGTATTCGTCTTCTTCTCCTGCTGTCTTACGGCTGATGTAGATGCGGAGCAGCGACTACAATTTCACATTTAGGTGGTCCAGCCCAGATAACGACCGCGTCAGGAGCAGTAGCGGAGGAGTGTATCATCATCGACGTGATGTCTCCTTCGTATTTGTGGATCGGGGCATCACATCATTATGCGTAGTGTATTGTCTTTTCTGGATGACCGCAGTTGCACGCAGGACAGGTTTTTAGTGGCTGTTTGTGCATCTGGTATCCGCATCTGCTGCTGCCATGGTTTGGCCAGTGGATGCGAGTTAGGGGGGACGATGAGAAGCTTCGTGGAAGATCAAACCCATCGCGTCGTTATACGTCGTACTGTCTGTTCTGGATGACCGCAGTCGCACACTACTGGAGAGTTTTTAAATTTTTAATTTGTGCGTGGGGTATCCCCGCATCTACTGCCGTGGTTCGTGTGCAGCGGATGCGATTTAGGGTATTTACGGCAGGGCAAACCTGAAACACCCGCACGGGGGGAGAAGCTCACCGTTGTGTCTCCTTACCAGAGCAAAGGGGCGTGGAGCCAGACCAGTGGCCGCTGGCCTGGCACGTGCGCGTGGGGTGGCCCAGGAGCGCCCTGCGCTCGGAGCACGAGTACGTCACCGAGGATCCGTACGTGAAGCCCTCGGCCGCCAAGATGCCGTGCGGCGGCAAGCCTGGGTGACTGCAGTTCACCACTACTCACACACGGCAACAAAGACAAAAAGATAAAGACGCCCCACCCCCCGACCGTGCAGCCTCAACACACATTGGGGCAAGTGCTGTTAGCGAGCAGCACCAATGAAGGCCGTATTCACGAGTTTAAGGACGACCTGTTCTCAAACCCTGGAGGTCTCTAGGGAGACCGGAGCACAAGTCGTGTACACCTGCGCACAGATCCCGAGGTGGGGCAAGACGGCAATGGAGAGATGAAGAATGAACGGGGATGCAAATGGACAACGCGGTTGAGACTGGGCAGGATGGCGAGACCCGGAGGGAGATGCCACACGCCGCCAATCCTCCGGCACCGGCCAAAGGAGAAAGATCCCCCGTATAGCGTTAACCGACTTTTTGGGCAAGTGCTGTTAGCGAGCACCTATGAAGACATGGCACACGAAGGCGGTGGGTGGCCAACATCACGCCTGACGGCCTTTGTCTCCCCAGTGGCGATGTTTTTACACATCGCACCAGGTACTCATCTGAGGCTGAGTCAACCTGAGGGGATCATCGTTACTGGTGTTGACCGTGAGTGGGAATCGAACCCGGGTGGCCAGGTTCGTAGCGCAGCGCGCTAACCGCATGACGCCCACAGCAGCAGCAGCAGCGCTTGCAAATACAAAACCATCGTTTTGATGTGAAAACTGTATATCAAATAGATTATCGTGGCCAACGCTGTTGGTGCCACTACCCTGTGACATCCCTTCCCTTTGTCTGGACTTATTTCTCTAGCGCCTGTGCGCTGGAACGGTGCTCATCACCAGCTCCACCGTCCCCCAGGGCCCTGCTACCCACGGCGCGCCATCTCAGCACCGGCTGAGAAGCCATCGGGCAGAGGTGGCCGCTCTCCTCCCAGCGCTTGTGGCACGACAGACACTGGGTATAAGCACACCTTATGCAAGCACAGCTCCCACATAGTCAAGACGTCCTTACATAGTACTGGTGGAGGGTGGGTAAAGGGCAACTTCTGATCCAAGCACACTGTGGATATAAACACAGCTGGCTGTCCTCCCAAGATTGTGCTTACAGTGAGGGAAAAAAGTATTTGATCCCCTGCTGATTTTGTACGTTTGCCCACTGATAAAGAAATGATCAGTCTATAATTTTAATGGTAGGTTTATTTGAACAGTGAGAGACAGAATAACAACAAAAAATCCAGAAAAATGCATGTCAAAAATTGTTGTAAATTGATTTGCATTTTAATGAGGGAAATAAGAATTTGACCCCCTCTCAATCAGAAAGATTTCTGGCTTCCAGGTGTCTTTTATACAGGTAACGAGCTGAGATTAGGAGCACACTCTTAAAGGGAGTGCTCCTAATCTCAGCTTGTTACCTGTATAAAAGACACCTGTCCACAGAAGCAATCAATCAATCAGATTCCAAACTCTCCACCATGGCCAAGACCAAAGAGCTCTCCAAGGATGTCAGGGACAAGATTGTAGACCTACACAAGGCTGTAATGGGCTACAAGACCATTGTCAAGCAGCTTGGTGAGAAGGTGACAACAGTTAGTGCAATAATTCGCAAATGGAAGAAAGACAAAAGAACTGTCAATCTCCCTCAGCCTGGGGCTCCATGCAAGATCTCACCTCGTGGAGTTGCAATGATCATGAGAACGGTGAGGAATCAGCCCAGAACTACACGGGAGGATCTTGTCAATGATCTCAAGGCAGCTGGGACCATAGTCACCAAGAAAACAATTGGTAACACACTACACCGTGAAGGACTGAAATTCTGCAGCGCCCGCAAGGTCCCCCTGCTGAAGAAAGCACATATACATGCCCGTCTGAAGTTTGCCAATGAACATCTGAATGATTCAGAGGGCAACTGGGTGAAAGTGTTGTGGTCAGATGAGACCAAAATTGAGCTCTTTGGCATCAATTCAACTTGCCGTGTTTGGAGGAGGAGGAATGCTGCCTATGACCCCAAAAACACCATCCCCACCGTCAAACATGGAGGTGGAAACATTATGCTTTTGGGGTGTTTTTCTGCTAAGGGGACAGGACAACTTCACCACATCAAAAGGACGATGGACGGGGCCATGTACCGTCAAATCTTGGGTGAGAACTTCCTTCCCTTAGCCAGGGCATTGAAAATGGGTCGTGGATGTGTATTCCAGCATGACAATGACCCAAATCACACGGCCAAGGCAACAAAGGAGTGGCTCAAGAAGAAGCACATTAAGGTCCTGGAGTGGCCTAGCCAGTCTCCAGACCTTAATCCCATAGAAAATCTGTAGAGGGAGCTGAAGGTTCGAGTTGCCAAACGTCAGCCTCGAAACCTTAATGACTTGGAGAAGATCTGCAAAGAGGAGTGGGACAAAATCCCTCCTGAGATGTGTGCAAACCTGGTGGCCAACTACAAGAAACGTCTGACCTCTGTTATTGCCAACAAGGGTTTTGCCACCAAGTACTAAGTCATGTTTTGCAGAGGGGTCAAATACTTATTTCCCTCATTAAAATGCAAATCAATTTATAACATGTTTGACATGCGTTTTTCTGGAATTTTGTTGTTGTTATTCTGTCTCTCAATGTTCAAATAAACCTACCATTAAAGTTATAGACTGATCATTTCTAGTGGGCAAACGTACAAAATCAGCAGGGGATCAAATACTTTTTTCCCTCACTGTATACCCTGCTGCTGTTGCACCAAACTAACGCTGCTAATCCTAGGCCAGAGGCTCTTGAGGCACCACAAGGAGACGGCTCCGACTCTCGATAGCGGCCGTCAGCAGCGACGTGTGCGAGAGTTATTCTGCCATCCTATTAGCGAAGACGTTAAACTGCAGCATTACACAAAACGTGAGTTCATACGGAAAAATAAATACTCACGTATTTAAAGACAGTACCGTATTGATAACTAAACAACAGAATGGTTCACACTATCTACAGAAACACACTGCAACGTTCATTATTTGCCTGGGCGATACCGTGGGGTGAATATTAACGTCCTGTCAGCAGGGGGGTGAGCCCGGACTGTCCACTCAGAACGCTGAACTTTGGTCGCAGGAGCGGTGCTCTTCGTTTCCCTGTTTTTTTACCAAGCCACCTCCGTGAACAACGCGAGTGTGGGACTTCCTGACCCAATCGTGATCAATGGTCACTTTGGTTTACCCAGGAATCCACACCCGAGCCCAAGGACACTTTGCCCGAGGCTTTCTGCTACATTGCATGTTTTCATATTTCAGCCGATGTACGAGTGTCCGTGTACGAGCGTGTCCGTGTACGAGTCTGTCCGTGTACGAGTGTCCATGTACGAGTGTATCCGGGTACGAGTGTCCGTGTACGAGTGTCCGTGTACGAGTGTGTCCGTGTACGAGTGTCTGTGTACGAGTTTGTCCGTGTACGAGTGTCCGTGTACGAGTGTCTGTGTACGAGTGTGTCCGTGTACGAGTGTCTGTGTACGTGTGTGTCCGTGTACGAGTGTCCGTGTACGAGTGTGTCCGTGTACGAGTGTCCGTGTACGAGTGTGTCCGTGTACGAGTGTCCCCGTGTACGAGTGTCCGTGTACGAGTGTCCGTGTACGAGTGTGTCCGTGTACGAGTGTCCCCGTGCACGAGTGTCCGTGTACGAGTGTGTCCGTGTACGAGTGTCCGTGTACGAGTGTGTCCGTGTACGAGTGTCCGTGTACGAGTGTCCGTGTACGAGTGTGTCCGTGTACGAGTGTCTGTGTACGAGTGTGTCCGTGTACGAGTGTCCGTGTACGAGTGTGTCCGTGTACGAGTGTCAGTGTACGAGTGTCCGTGTACGAGTGTCCGTGCACGTGGGAAAAAAGCGTAGCACCTGGAGAAAGCCCACACGGTGCGAGGGGGGCTACAGTCTGCCCCCAACAGCTGGGACGCGCGATATTATTCCACACCTAACGTGAGCAGGAATCGAATCGCCGGGTTACAGGCCCCACGCGCGTGTAGGCCCCCACTGCCCCGGCTACGCTCAGGGAAATGGCCGCGGTTCTAGCCGCCCGGGCCTCACAATGTCGCCGCCTTCCCTACTGAGTGGTGTCGCGAGGTCGCTCTAGCTCACGTACCGGTGCACACGGGAGGCGGCTTGTCCCACTGGCCGCTGGGCTGGCAGCTGAGAGTCGAGGAGCCCATGAGATAGTAGCCCGGTTTGCAGTGGTACGACACGAGTGTCCCGTACGTAAACATTTTGTTTTTGTTCTTGATCTCCAGGTAGGAGTTTTCCACGTGCGCCGGACCAGTGCAGTTCACCACTGGAGGGGACACAGTGCGAGACACTGCAGCAGCTGCACCAGCAGAGGCGCGTGCATGTACGTGCGTGTGCGTGCATGTGTGTAAACTTCGCCACTAGGGAGACAAAGGTGTTTGAGTACGTGGGGAGCGGTCGTGTAGCGGTTAGCGCAACGCTGCGCTACAAACCCAGCGGCCCAAATGAAATTCCCGCTCACGGGCCAAAACCAGTGACCATTATCTGAACCGGTCCGGGGCCTCCCCTAGGACGACTCAGCCTCAAATGAGTACCTGGTGTGGTGTGTAAATATCGCCACTGGGGAGACAAAGGCGGCCGGGCGTGGTGTTGGCCACCCATCCCCTCGTGTGCCGTGACGGCCTTCATAGGTGTTACTTGTTAATAGCACTTGCCCCAACAGTCTGTTAAAGGCTACACGGGGCGGGGGGGGATCTTTGTGAAGATGTGAGCTGTACGCTGTCGATATTAAACATGGACAGATTGAGCGCACAGTCAGCTCCCAATTATCTGGACTAATGGGGATGGGGTGGTGGGGCGGAGTGGTAGCCCAGATAAAAGTAAAACGCAAACAATGCAAATCAGGCTATGGAAACGTATTCATTTTTTCACCTTACTAGACTGAGGGCGAAAATATCAGAACGAGGCGCCTGTTTTTCTAACAGCTTCTTAAAGTAATCATTGTACTCGCCGACGCGTTTGCAGGTCGCGTGGGCATCGAGTCGCCGACCCTCGACGAGTAAGGAGCGGCTTGTAATTGAACGAGCACGGGGTCGTCCGCGAGCCCGGATCATTTGCCCACATGGGGGGTCGAGGGTTAACCGCGCTCTGTCCAATGCCGTCCGTTCCTCGCGACGCCGTCAGAATTACCTTTGCAAACCGGCAAGGGGTCGCTCCACTGCCCGCTGGGCAGACACTGAGTGCTCTCTGGTCCGTGGATTACGAAGCCCACGTCGCAGGAGAAACCCACCACGTCGTCCAGATTGAATCGTCCGCCGTGAGCGATGCCATGCACAGGACTGCCCGGGTGTCCGCAGCTGATTGCTGCGAAGATAGGCGACGCACGGAGCGAGCTCACCGTTAGTATTTCCGCGGCGGTGACATGTGGTTTGGTCACCTGAAAAAAAAAATCTGAAAAGTAAAACGTTGTCGTGGATTGTTAGGAAGCCACTGGAGCTGTGCACTTTCAAATATAGACTGACAAACTAATTTGTTTAGAGCTGCTTTTTGTGCTTAGTTTGCTGTCCTTCCCCCGCACCTACGATTATTATGGTATAGTGCGAAAGAAGTTCAACATACATACATGACGCTTACGTGTACAGTAGTCCCTCGGTTAACAGTGACATCGGTTAACGGTTTTCCGATTAGCGTTTCACCTCCCATAGGACCCCATGGTTTCGACTTAACGTGAACATTTTGATTAATGGTCACGTGTTTACGTTATCCACGCGGGCGCTAAATTTCAGCCAATCCGAGCGCTCGTAAGTGGGGCTGAGCCATGCCCTCAGTAAATCAGTGACGCCCATTTATGAGCGTTTAGACCTCGACTGGCTTTGTTTACATATTAACGTTTTCTGTTTTGGCAGTGGAAACAGCTCTCTTGCAGACTCACGTAATTCCTATATTCGATGAACAGTTATCTCGGTCAACAGTAATTTTCGTAGAACGGATTAAAAACGTTAACTGGGGACTACTTTATTTGTTGCTGTGTGTGCGCTAATAAACCAATTTGCTGTACTGCCTTCCTTGCTGGTGCCTGGCCGGCACTTTGTTGTTCTTACCTTGGTGCGAGGCGCCAACCCAACCTCTCTGTCACGCCACCACACCCAGCCTACAACCTCACGCTCTGAACGCTTAAAACACCCCACAAGTGTGCGTTTCCCGTTAGACGTGGGTCGGGCGAACATTCTGGGGGCACGATTCATCTTGGGTGCAGAGGGAAGGGTTGTTGTGAATGTCTCGGGAGGACGCGCTTTACGATGCGGCGGCTTCAAAGTGGTGATACACTGGAGCTGAAGAACCAGAGGGCAGTCGTCTCTGGGTCTGCGAGAGAGACACGGCGCTCGCAGCCGGCGATCACCACAGCGCGACGGCCACTGTGGAATCGTGTCTATTGAGCTGATGGACCTTGGACAATAAACAAATGACCGGTGTGCAAGGGAGGGAGTTGTGAGGAGCGTCCCGCAGGCTCAGGCGAGACATCCACGCCGATAAAGAGATGGCATGACGCCTTTGTTGGTGTTTTCGCTGCAAGGTCACCTCGCGGTGACGAGATTCATCGCACGCGTTCCGGCACTCGTTATGTCCACGAACCACGGCGCGCCGCACGAACGCGGGGCAGCACTGTCCGTGGCCAGCGCTATCACAATGTCATCACGTGCGCGGCGGCCTCCGACAGATTGTTTCGGTACGAGCAGAGCCGCTGATTTATAAGAGAGTTGACGGTATTCATTTCTCGGTGACAGAGTGGAACGACAGCATCGAGCGGCGTCGGCTCATCTGTTGGGAACCAAGGCTCACCATTCAGAGTTTCAAGCGTCGCGCGGATTTTTCCGTAGCAGCACCGTACACACCGTGTACACACGCACCGCCAAGGTCATAAGGTCAGCGCGACCGATGCCGGTGGGTGATGCTACCACACCTCACCAATCCCCACCGCCCTAACGACCGCAAAAGTAATGTAACTAAAACGATGACGCACGTGAAGTAATTTAACTGCACAAAGTGTAAGTGAATGAAGCGGGCATTTCTGAATGCACCGTTTTTGTTTGTGGCTGGCAATGGCTAACGGAGCAATAGAAAAAAACCACCCGACCTGAGAGACGGCGCACAAAACTCCACTGAACATGATACTAGCAAACATGCCAATGTCGAACCCTCATGAAAGGGCATCCTGAGACTCAGTAAGTCCGACTGGATGAAGAATAATATGGCGTTATTGCAATGGACAGGTAACGTATCGCTGAACAATTAGACAGCGTTATTACAACAGACAGGGTAATGTATCACTGTGTTTCGAAGTATAAGGATTCTGCGTCTGAATTTAGGTGACTTCGCTTACACTTTGCAGTGCACCGCGTTCATTAAATATAAAAAATATATATTTTTTATTTTACCAGGTAAGGCCAACTGATATATGTAGCTCTTTTTAATAAGTGACCTGGCCATAAATCATAGCTCAACGAAGTGGCTTATCACGTGGAAATTTTAGCAGCCAAATACTCTACAACATGTGCTTCTTAATGTGGAGGGAAAAAAACGGAGGACGCGGAAAAAATACATACGACCACGGGGAGAACATACAAATAACATGCAAACTCCAAATATACAAGCATTAGGGTCGGGATCGAACCCACGACCTCCTCTATACCAGGCGAGGTAGTTAACATCTCGCCGCTGTGGCGCCTGTGCCGTGCGTTGTAGAAGGAAGCCAGGCGTCACATTGCAACATTGGTAAACATGTACCCACAGGGCGAGGGCTGCTTTGCAAGGGCTTTGACAACATTAGTAACCATGGTTCGGAGTTAATTATAACATTTTTACAGAATCCGTACGCGCTTGCGATTATTTAATTAAACACGTGTATTTTTAAATACACCATTACCGCAGAATAACAACCTCCATTAACGACGGCAATAAAAAAAAGAAGCGGCACTTACGCACGCACGCTGGCGAATTCCCAGACCAGTTGTGGTCCTGTTGGCAAATCCTGACGGAGAAGCCAATGAGACGGAATCCAGGGCTGCATTGGTACACGACCGTGTCCCTGTAACCGTAGCTCTCCCCGACCACCTGCCCATTCACGATGGGCTCCAGCACCCCACAGTGGCCCGCTGGATGGAACAAAGAAACGTGTCAGTGCTCAACTCGCGCAGACATTTACGACGTGTGTGTTTAGTTTGTTGTCCTTCTTCCCCCGCACCTCTTATTAACGCGGTCGGCTACGTACAGTGCGAAAGAGGTTCAACACACACGACGTGGAGACCTCTCCCACGTGTTTTGGGTTTGCGCTGCGTGCCGTTCGGCACGACGTCCGTCGTTTTTGCTCACACGGCCGCCGGGAGCTTGTTCAGCAAACGCCCACCACACCTTGCCCCACCGCACGCGAGCTGACCGACCTTGCGACGACTTTGCGCGAGGCCCGTTCTACACTGCCGGGTGGACGGAGGCGGCGGATGGTGGTTCAAGAAGCTGCGCCTGCCCACTGTTCTGACCACTGCTCCGGTGAGATCGAACCAGGCGACCAAAGGATCGCGAGTGCAGTGCGCCGACCGTGACACCGCGGCAGCATCGGTGCCGGCACTCGGCTCGACGTTCTGCAACCGAGCACCGTGGTGGCATTTAAACTCTAAACTATGTTTTTTATTTTACCAGGTAAGGTTCCACTGCGCTATATAGCTCTGTTACAGAAGCGACCTGGCTATCACAAATGATAGGTCAACTAAGTGACTTATCGTGTGGAAATTTATCGTAGCCAAATACTCTAAAATGGTTGATGTCAATTCTAAATGTGGAGGGAAAAACCGGAGGACCTGGAGAAAAATCCACACGACCACGGGGAGAGAGACACGCAAACTGCAAATATGCAGTCGTCAGGGTTGGGATCTAGCCCCCCACGACCTCCGGCATACCAGGCGAGTTAGTTAACATCTCTCAACCATGGCAGAGCACAGAGCGAGCAAGTGCACGGTCAGCAGTCGCCTGGACAGCGGCGCCTTTGTGCTGTGACTCACAGTGGCCTCGCGACGCCGGCCAATCCGCTCGCCTGCTTGCTGCGTAGGCACTCGGGTCAGCACGCACGTGGATTACAGGACACAAACCAGGTACCAAATGGATGCCCCTATTCCACTGGCACAGGACTGTTGAGAAAGGCGAGCTCTATGGGCCGAGGATGTGCGTGCGGTGGAAGCGTCTGTGTTTAGAGAAGATAATCATCATGGGTTTCCGGCTGTCGTCGTGCCTCTGTTTTGAAGGGAGTTGGTCGATTTTGTGCAACGGCAGCCACCGGTCCAACAGGGCCGATTCACGGAGTGCCACCTCTGGCCACTAAGGGACGGCATTCCTCTGTCCCTTCGTGGGCAGAAGCTGCGTGGGCACGTGGCGCCTGATTGTGCAATCACTTGATTCGGTCTTCACCTGACAGAGGAGCTCACTGATGTGGGCATTGTGTCCAGATATTTCAAGTGTCTGTCTGCTCCTCACACAATCCAGGATTGATAAACCTGGGATGGACTGTTAGAGGGTCAGCCCGAATTTTTCTGCATGTTTTTTGCGTGAAAAGTTCGAGATTTGGAAACGTAGGGAAGAGAGCGCACAATGAAGACCCAGAGCTCCGTGTGCCAGTTTGCATGCAGCGTTATGGCAGCCGACGACGAAAGTATGATTCCGCGTGACTTATGAGTGAAACCTCTGCCACCAAACCCAGAGATACACATTAGCGCACACACGCCCAAGGTAATCCCCCAATCCCTTCGCGAACCGCCACGGAGAGTCGTTTCAGAGCCGCGTTTACACGCGCTGCGCGCCACATCCACATTAGCTAGGGGGGGGGAAGCTCCTCCTCCACGTCCCTGCTGACAACCGGTGTGGAGCCGGCGCTCACCGATGCAGCTGGCGTCGACGCCGCTCCACAACCCGGTGCTGAGGCACTCCCTCCCCGGCGAGCCCGCCAGCGTGTACCCCGAGTTGCACGAGAAGATGGCGGTGGAACCGAACCAGGTCTGCGTGCCAACTTTATTTCCGTTGGGAGGCGTCGGCAGTTCGCCGCACGATATGACTGCGGGGCGGAAGGGGGGGTGGAATCGGCGCGACGACGTGGGTTTAGTTTACAGTTGCTGCATCATTACTGTGCGCTGTAACAATGACGTACGATTCACCACCTGGAGCATCGACGGAATTTAAGGAGCGCAAGCGAAGAGGTTCCCGAGCGACGCCGCACACGAGGGCAGCGGCGGCGCCTCAACTTACAATCACAAAACGGTTTCCAAGGCAACCAACACCACTGTGTACACCGGAGTACAAAATAAACTACCGCTGTAGAACAAACTCTTGTGTAGCCACGTCATGGTACACTTACACTAGCCATTGCACGAGCCAATCATGCATCACTTAGATGGTGACATACGAGTCTGAATGAACTTACTTTCACACTGCGGTTGCTTAGAAGGCCAACTCCACATTCCGTTAGCTTCACAGGTGATGGTTTTGAGGCCTTGCAGGTGGTACCCAGGGTTGCAAGCGAACAGCACCTGCGACCTGTACTCATTTTTGGGCTCGCCAAGATATCGCCAGTTCCCGTTCGTCAACACGAATCTGCTGATGCTGGGACACGTCACCACTGTGGGGGTACAGCACACATCAGAGCAGCGGCTTCATGCCAGTATAGACGCGCGAGCGCTCTCTCTGCGGACACACACAGTCTGACGGCACTCAAGTCAAAATGTTTTTGACCATCAGTCATCCGTCTCTTCCTGTTATTCATTGTTTTGCTGATCAGAAGGATTCGCTGAATGCAGCATTGTGTTACGCTTGGTTTAACACGCAGGCTTTCGCGACCAATATTATTCATAATAAAGGTTTTTTGGGTTAGATCGCGTAATTACAATGTGTCGTAACCCTCCACCACCCAAAACAGTAAAGTTTGTCAAGTATTATTATGCAATACACATTACAATTGTATTCCCTTTAAAGGCAAGACATGCTAATCAACTGTGAAACGACATGTCTCGGACCGCATCCGTGAACACAAAGCAGATCTGAAACACGGTAGGACCAATACCTCTGCCGTTGCCGATCATTGTTTTCACGCTGTGGGCACACACGAAATTGATTTTTCCAAGACGGAGGTACTCTGCAAACCTACCGGCTACCTTCAGAGATTTGTTCCTGAAGCCATCCAGATGTATAAACACAGACACAACTTCAACCGAGAGGATGGGTACAAACTGAGCAATCATTGGAAGGACGTTATTAACCAGGTAAAGTCTTAACTTACTATGATGTTTCCATCCTACCTGCATGTCAGCTGTTATTTCGACTCTCTGTGTGTCTCTCTCTCCATGCCTCTCTCTTAGATCTCTCATGCTCACATGTCCGTTGCATTGCACTCTCATGCCTTTGGATTGCACTCTCATACTCACATGTCCTTTAGATTACACTCTCATGCTCACATGTCTTTTGGATTACACTCTCATGCTCACATGTCTTTTGGATTGCACTCTCATGCTCACTTGTCTTTTGGATTGCACTCTCATGCTCACATGTCTTTTGGATTGCACTCTCATGCTCACATGTCTTTTGGATTGCACTCTCATGCTCACATGTCTTTTGGATTGCACTCTCATGCTCACAGGCCCTTCGGATTACACCCGTTGGGTTGCTATCCCTCGTCGAGGAGGCTGCTATCCTTCTTTTCTACAGTTGCATGCTAATCTCTCACATGAACATCACTAGCCCCGGCCACTTCTTTTGACCCTTGGTCTACACCCATTTCAAACCTTTTAAAACAGTCTGCCTCAGCAGCAGACCATGCTTTCCCACCTGATGACGGACGCCTGTGTTGTGCCTGAAACATCGTGATTTATTTTATACCTACGTGACTTTACAGAAAGAACCAAAGAGCATGTGAATAACAATTTATTGTTATATAATTACAATAACACCCCCCTCTGCTCTCCGCACCTGATTGGTTTAGTGATGACGTCATCTTGCTCTATTTAAGACTGTAAGTAGGGGATTGCTTTACTATTCTGGCAAATCGCCCGATGATGCCGGATGTAATTACCAGCGAAGCGTCGTACTCAAATTGTAAATGTTGTGCATTTACTCTCCAATACACCGGTGGGCTGAAGTAGTAACTAATTGGCGCGTTTTGTTTACGTGACAAACCTTACTGGCTGTGTCGGGTGGTGGAGGGTTACGACATATTTATACTTACATGATCTAACCCCAAAACCTTTAATATGTTACGCTTGTTTACCCAAGAGGGTTTCTGCAACGTCACTGTCGGGGCTGATGTTGTTGCTGTGTGGAATGCTAATTCAGTAATTTTTAGGCAATTTTTGAACAATGGGATGTTTGCCAATTCCATTCACTTTGCGTTTTTATCTTTGGGGTGAAACTTAAGGAGCCTGGAGGAAACCCTTGCAGAACAGGTGGACAACACACAAACTCCAAACACAAAGACGGCCGAGTCAGGAATCGAACCCATGGTCATCTTGCCGTGAGGCACGGACATTACCACCGCGCCAACCCGCCGCCCATTATTCATTAGCTGCGAGGTCCGCGCATGAGGGCAAGGCTGACGATCACCTCGTGGAGATAACAGCATTGCCTGAGGCTGCGGCCAGGCAGCAGAACCGAGGGGCTCCCCCAGCCACGGTAGCAGGAAGCTGGTCACTAATTTAGTCATTATTATATTGCCACTTCCGACGAAGACAAGGTGTTGTATGTGTAGTGACATATGACGTCACTACCATGTCGGGTCTGTACACACATGACGTCACTACCATGTCGGGTCTGTACACACATGACGTCATTACCATGTCGGGTCGGTTCGGATGACGTCACTGCCGAGTCGGGCAGTGCAGAGGCCTTTGATGAGTGCTACGGGGAGCGTGGCAGGCCGTGGCACTCTGAGTGACCCCGGCTGGACACGTGACCGGATCAAGATGGGGGCCAGGGGCCCAGGGGGGACCTTGGGGTCACGTGGTTGGGGTCCGGAGCCTTCTCGAGTGTTCGAGAAGGGGGGCGTGGCCGGGGTGTGGCCGACCACGCCGGGGAGCTCATAAGCGGGTGCCACTGAGGGAGCGGGCCTGTTCGTGCCTGGGATGAAGACGCCTCATGAAGACTGAAGCCCCCAGTCGTCGTGGCCAAGCAGAAGCCCTCCTGGCTTGGCCACGCCAAGTATTACCCGAGTGTTACTGAGTTGACCTTTTTGACCCTAACAACATAGTTTATGAGGCTAATTACTTTCCTACTCTTTTGCTTTTGTGAATTCACTTTAGGGGTCATTGGAATCACTGTTCATTTACTTATAAGTAAACAAAATAAGTAAAGATCACCGAGTGTGTAAGAGAGCTGTTTCCACTGCCAAAACAAAGCCAGTCGAGGTCACAACGCTCATAAATGGTGCATCGCTGATTGGCTGAGGGCGTGGCTCAGCCCCACTTACGGATTGGCCGAAATTTGGTGCCCACGTGCATAAGGTAAACACATGACCGTTAATCAAAATGTTAACATGAGTCGAAATCTTGGGGGTCCTATGGGAGGAAACGTTAACCGAAAGACCATTAACCGATATCACTGAAAAATGAGGGACTTCTGTATGTATGTTGAACTTCTTTCGCACCGTATGTAGCTAACCGCGCTAATCAGAGCTGTGGGAGAAAGGACAACAAACTAAACACAAAAAGCAGTTTCAAAGAAATGTTTTCAGTCTGTTGTTGTTGCAAGCAGCACACACACACACCGTGGGTAGAGGGTGTGTGTGGTGCTAACAGAGATGGTCTCCCCAGCAAAATGCTGAGGAAGAGTGGCGTTTGTGCACAGACTGCCCTACATGACATCATAACACTCTGGACTACTGGACGGTTTCCGCAGGATTGGATGCCCTTGCGGTCCCCCTCTTTAAGAAGGGGGACCGCACAGACTGTAACAACTACAGGGGCATCTCACTCCTCAATGTGCCGGGAAAGGTCCTGGCAAGGAGTATTCAACATCTCCTTGCCAGGCACGCTGAGGAAAGGCTTGCGGAGCCCAAATGTGGTTTCAGGAAAGGGCGGTGCTGCACAGATGCCATATTTTCTGTCTGTCTACAACAGAAGAGGTGTAGGGAATTCCAACAAGAGTTTATCTCTGCTTTATTAACCTGGCCAAGGCCTATGATATCATCAGTAGGCCTGGGCTCTGGGTTGTTCTTCGTGCTTTCGGAGTCCGACTCTCTGCTCACAATCATTAAGGACCTTCATGATGGTGAGCGGGCCTGGGTAAAACTACGTGGCCGGGAGTTGGAGTCATTCCCTGTTCACCTTGAGGTGCGACAGGGATGTCCTCTGGCTCCCACATTATTTAACATCTACTTTGACCACGTAGTTTGTGAAGCCTTCTATGGCTTTTCTGGAGGATTTTCATCTGGTACGGATACATTGGGAGGCTGATCGATGCCTGGGTGCGGTCAAGGGATGGCTCCCTATTGGTCAACCATGTTATGTATGCTGATAATCTGGTAATTGCTGCTCACTCAGGAGGAGTTGGAGATGCTGCTACTGAACCTGGAGCATGCCACTCAGAGGTGGGGCCTTACCATCAGCCAACCAAAACTAAGCACCTGCCTGGGTATTTTGTACCATCAGACACTCTACCCCCACAACTCCCAATTGGTGATGGGGCAGTTGTGGAGAGAGTGGAGAGTTTCCCATACCTGGGCAGTGTGCTCATGTCCGGCTCCGGTTTGATAGCAGAGGTCTTGCCCCAAATCAGTCGTGCGGCATTATCTTTTCATCGCTTGCGTAACGCTGTGTGGAAGCTACCTGGTCTGTCGCTCACACGAAGCTTCAGGTTTTCTCATTCCCTCCCTCTATGCTTGCGATATGTGGACCCCCCTAATAGAACATCTTTGCCAGTTAGAAACATTTAGGCTGGCCTCCCTACGATCCATCCTGGGTTTAACCAGGCTGGATTGTGTGAGGAGCTCACAAATCCTTGAAAGATCTGGACAAAGTCCCATTGGTGAGCTCCTCCGGCAGGCAAGGCTGCATTGACTGGGTCATGTAGCCCGCATGCCCAGCCACCGCATGCCTAGACAGCTTTTGTTCGACCGGATAGAGGAGACTAAATGGGTACGGCACGGGCTAGAGAAGAGATGGAGCAATGTGGTACAAGTGGACTTGCCAATGACTGGTACCAGTGGTGGCAAGATCGGCCTCTGTGGAAGAGGCTGCTCGTGAAGGATGCTACTGGGCAGTTGGAGGCAGTTGCTCTCCAACAACAACGGAGGGCAGAGGAGCGACACTCACAACAACGAGCAAAGCGCTGGGCTGCTAAAACAGCAAGTTGGCACAGTAGGTGGCAAAGGTGGTGCATCGGCCAGTCATTTCAGCCAGTCGACCCATGGCACCTAGGTCTGCCCCGTGACCTCCTGCCAGCGAGCTGTCGACACTTTACGTCACCTCAACGTGCACATAGCCTGGCACAAGCGCCATGTTGATGCCACCACCAATGGCGAATGGCGGTTGTTGTTGTTGATGCTAAGAAAAACAACAGAAATTAATCTGGGTAGAGGGTGTGTGTGCTGCTAGCAATACACACACCCTGGGCAGAGGGTGTGTGTGTGTAACGTGGAGGCTGCAATGCCGTGCTCATGGCAGCGCAGGCTGAGCCGGCCGGCATGGATTACCTCACGCGCATCGTTTGTGATCAGTAGCAAGTGATCGAGTGGTGGATTGTTGAGAGATACGTGGAGCCATGCGGGATATTCATCCTATTCGCCCTCCTGATCCTCTTCATTCCATTATGCATGATTAGGGGAGTGAGCAATGACGTTTTTCCGGTGAAAACTTACCGATTGAAATTTAGTGAACATTTACAATTTGCACCTGATTGGTTCACAAGTGACGACATCACATGTATCCCTGTATTTAATACCAAAGCAGGAGGATTTCTCCACAACTCTGGCCTTCGCCTGATGATGCTAGTTGTAATTACTGGCGAAATGTCATGGTACTCGAATTGTGAATGTTGTAGTGGGTTTACTCTCCAACACACCGGTGTGCTGCACTAGTAACGAATTTACACGTTTTGTGTACATGACAAACCTTACTAATTGGCTGTGTCGGGTGGTGGGCGGGTTTGACGACACATTTATATTTACACGACCGAACCCAAAAACCTCTTATGGACAATGTCATAAAGGCCTCCAACTACCACTACGTGTTAAACTTACTCCCCAAAAGTGTGAGCAACAGTAGCAGCAGCAGCTTTGTGATTGTTTCGTCAATGCGGCCTTGCCCTTGCCACACAACCAAGCTCAAGTTGATTTGTTTAGCCAGGGGGGGAGAGGAGTTTGAGAGTCGCATTTGCGACCAAGTCACCAAAAACAACTAAAGTAATCACACAAAAAACAATGTACATCAAATGAAGGAAGAATTCAAATCGGCGCAGAAGCTACCGTATTAGAGGAAATTCAAAAACAGTACGCAAACATAAATCAACATTGTATTACCTGGAACGAAATTCTCCTCTGAAACTTCGTCTTTTTTCATGTGTATGTGATGCATTCTGTTAACTTTTTTTGTGTGTGTGTGCGTGCTGGTTATACCATCTTGATGCACGACCATGCCATTCGGGAACCTGACCAGGTAAACAGCTGTTGTTGGATGGTTCTGTTCGTTGTTGTTGTTGCTGCTAAATCCAGGATCCTGTAACCAGGTCTGCATTGTCATAAATAGGTGTGTAACCCAGCGCCACGGTGGCTAGGAGATGTCATCTTCCTCGCCTGGTATGCGGGAGGTCGAGGGTTCAATCCCAACACCAACACTGGCGAATTGCCCGATGATGCTGGATGTAATTACCAGCGAAACGTCGTATTCAAACTGTAAATGTTGTGGATTCACTCTTCAACACACCGGTGGGCTAAAGTAGTGAACTAATTGTCTTTTGTCAACGTGACACTTTTTTGCTGATTGGCCGTGTCGGGTGGAGGAGGGTTACGACACATTTATAAATAACGCGATCTAACCCAAAAACCTTTATTATGAATAATATTGGTCGCGAAAGCTTACGTGTTAAACTGTATATTTGGAGTTTGCGTGTCTCTTTCCCGTGGTCGCGTGGATTTTTTTTCTCCGGTTACTCCAGTTTGTCCCTCAACATTTAGAAACATGCGCTTAGATTATTTCGTTTTTTTTGGTGCTATAAATGTCCAAATGATGGCCAATTTTTTTTTGCTATCATTTGTGGCCAGGTCACTTCTGAAAAACAAGCTAAAACCTCAGTGGGCTTTGCCTGGTAGGATGGGGATGGTTTTGTTTCATTTGTATGTGTTTGGGTGATTTGTTTACTTTTCTGGTACTCTGCACTATTATACAGTTTGTTGTTGTAACGTTCTTACCCACCCCTCCTAGACATGTGAAAAAGAGCTTTATAGCTCATCGGATTCCTCCAGTATACAGTGAGGGAAAAAAGTATTTGATCCCCTGCTGATTTTGTACGTTTTCCCACTGACAAAGAAATGATCAGTATATAATTTTAATGGTATGTTTATTTAAACAGTGAGAGACAGAATAACACCAACAAAATCCAGAAAAACGCATGTCAAAAATGTTATCAATTGATTTTCATTTTAATGAGAGAAATAAGTATTTGACCCCTCTGCAAAATATGACTTAGTACTTGGTGGCAAAACCCTTGTTGGCAATCACAGAGGTCAGACGTTTCTTGTAGTTGGTCACCAGGTTTGCACACATCTTAGGAGGGATTTTGTCCCACTCCTCTTTGCAGTTCTTCTCCAACTTATTAAGGTTTCGAGGCTGACGTTTGGCAACTCGAACCTTCAGCTCCCTCCACAGATTTTCTATGGGATTAAGGTCTGGAGACTGGCTAGGCATCTCCAGGACCTTAATGTGCTTCTTCTTGAGCCACTCCTTTGTTGCCTTGGCCGTGTGTTTTTGGGTCATTGTCATGCTGGAATACCCATCCACGACCCATTTTCAATGCCCTGGCTGAGGGAAGGAGGTTCTCACCCAAGATTTGACGGTACACGGCCCCGTCCATCGTCCCTTTGATGCGGTGAAGTTGTCCTGTCCCCTTAGCAGAAAAACACCCCCAAAGCATAATGTTTCCACCTCCATGTTTGACGGTGGGGATGGTGTTCTTGGGGTCATAGCCAGCATTCCTCCTGCTCCAAACACGGCGAGTTGAGTTGATGCTAAAAAGCTCCATTTTGGTCTCATCTGACCACAACACTTTCACCCAGTTGTCCTCTGAATCATTCAGATGTTCATTGGCAAACTTCAGAGGGGCATGTATATGTGCTTCCTTGAGCAGAGGGACCTTGCGGGCGCTGCAAAATTTCAGTCCTTCACGGCGTAGTGTGTTACCAATTGTTTTCTTGGTGACTATGGTCCCAGCTGCCTTGAGATCATTGACAAGATCCTCCCGTGTAGTTCTGGGCTGATTCCTTACTGTTCTCATGATCATTGCACATCCACGAGGTGAGATCTTGCATGGAGCCCCAGGCCGAGGGAGATTGACAGTTATTTTGTGTTTCTTCCATTTGCGAATGATTGCACCAACTGTTGTCACCTCACCAAGCTGCTTGGCAATGGTCTTGTAGCCCATTCCAGCCTTGTGTAGGTCTACAATCTTGTCCCTGACATCCTTGGAGAGCTCTTTGGTCTTGGCCATGGTGGAGAGTTTGGAATCTGATTGATTGATTGAGTGCTTCTGTGGACAGGTGTCTTTTATACAGGTAACCAGCTGAGATTAGGAGCACTCCCTATAAAAGTGTGCTCCTAATCTCAGCTCGTTACCTGTATAAAAGACACCTGGGAGCCAGAAATCTTTCTGATTGAGAGGGGGTCAAATACTTATTTCCCTCATTAAAATGCAAATCAATTTATAACATTTTTGACATGCGTTTTTCTGGATTGTTTTGTTCTCATCCTGTCTCTCACTGTTCAAATAAACCTACCATTAAAATTATAGATTGATCATTTCTTTGTCAGTGGGCAAACGTACAAAATCAGCAGGGGATCAAATACTTGTTTCCCTCACTGTAAATAAATATGCCGATTCTGATAAAGCGATGGGAGTAAAACGAGGAAGGGCGGACACCTACCGGCACAGACCGGGGGCCTGTTCTTGTTGCTCCACTCGCCGCTTGCAAGGCACTCGGCACTGATGGAATCTCCGGGCGACAGCATCCACCCCAGGTTGCACCGGTACGTCACCTCGGATCCCACTGTGTGCTCAGCTCCTACTACAATGCCATTGTCCGGCAGGTTAGGGACACCGCATGTAATTGCTGAGGAAGAAAAAACAATAAAAATCATGATTATTATTTTTGTAGTGACATCAGGGATGCCACTGTATGGTGCCGGCCTGGAAGGGTCGTGCGTTCGATGTTCCTACATCGTGGACAGCGCCGTGTGGGTGGCTGTGTGAAATACCCGCCCTAGCGGGACTTGGAGAGCACTGGGATAGTGCAGGCACCACACACAGCGTGTGGTGGGGGCTCCCCCGAGGGGGAGGGGGTGAGTGTCAGCCCTCGGACAGGGTTGCCCCCGGCCACTGCACTCTGGTTGACCCCGTAGACATCTGATCCGGAATGTCCATACAGGGGGCCACAGGTGGGGGGGCTAGGGGGTGATAACGTGTCCGGAGAGAGCTCTTGAGAAGGATGGAGGGGAACGAGAATGTTCGGGAATGCGGGCGGGCCCGACCGAAGAGGAATATAAGGCGGGTCCCTGGGAGGGACCGGGGTCTCTTTGTTCTACAGGCTGGAAGCTCCGCGTCTCAAGCTGGAAGCCCCTCATCCTACGGGGGACCACGTGGTCGGAGACCCGAGCGAGGGTCCGACCCTTCAAAGCAGTAACTCCCCTGTATAGTGTAGTCAGCTGGGTGATCACCACCCTAGGTTGTATCTGGTAAAGGGGCAGTTACCCCTATGTGTTATGGTGTTACAATTAAAGGTGTTGCCTCTAAAAGGAACAACAAATTGGTTTTCTGTATCGACACATACACTGTTTTCCACCTATGTTCCGTTTGGAATTGATAAAAGCTACCATAATGCCTCTACGTGATTATTGTGACATCGTTTATAAATCAGCACCCATTGAACTTCCCATATAGGACTCACCATTGCGATCTCTACATTGGGTCAAACTTAACATCTCTTAATGATCAACGTCTTATGCATCAGATATTATTTATTAACGATGTACTTACAAAAAAATCTGCAGATTACCTCATGGATCTCCTCATTGTTTCGGAAAACAAATATGTAAGATCTTCGCCCATTTACCAGCTTCGCATTCCTAATTGCCGTACAAATACTGGAGAAAGGGCTTTTGTTATAGATTCCCCCAGGGTCTGGAATGCTATCACAAATAAACTCCAGCTTGGATCATTACCAACAAGACAATCACTCAAAAATGCTCTAGAGGAGTTGTACAACCGTAGCTGCCACTGCTATCATGTGGCCTGAAATCAGAAATATAGCTATAGATGACCGATGTATGAAATTATTACGTATGTTGATTATAGTGCGCTGCTACTGCTATTGTTAATCCTGCTGTAATGGATTGACTTATGCAGCTAGCGAAGGACGCTAGGTTTAGTGATGTGTGTTGTGTGTCGCTATTGTAAACTTTTAATCACATTTGTTGGGAAAACTGTTATGTTGTTTATATAGCATTGTTTTAGTAAGTTTTAGAGGGGCTTGGTTTGGCCCGATTTTTTTTATTTAGTAAAGATTTACACTTAAAATTTGTATCTATTGTATTATGATTGTTATTGGGATCAAACATCGAAATGGAATTTTTTGCACTTTTTTATACGCAGCATGGACAGGTAGTGCTTTTTCTGTAGGATTCTATTGTTTAAGTATGTGATGTTTAGATTTGTGTACAATGAATTTTAGGTCTATCTTGTAATTTTATTCATAATAAATAATTGTTTGTTGCGGTTGCACCCAAATCAAGAGCCGAATGGCTCACAGGGTAAATTCTAATAAATGAAACTGAAACTACATTTTAATAAAGAAAACAGATTAATAACTGTGAGAATATAATTGACACTTTTTTTTTACTTTGAAGACAACGACAATAAATCCGATTGGAGCTCAAATCAAGAGTGATCAATGTAGGAAATAACCAGTCTGTAATAAACACCTTCTGTGAAAAGAGGAATTTGAATTTAGAGTAAAAAATAATACAATTTCGATATTCTTCTACCTACAGTGAGGGGAGTAGAGAGCAAGGTGATAGAGAGAGGGGAGGCCAGGAGCAGATGCATGTACAAAGTTTGCGACATTAAGAACACAACCTTTACAGTTGTGTTCCGGCATGCGATAGGGAGCCAGTGAAGGGCTCTGAGGATCGGGGAGATCCGGGGTTTATTTGTTGACCTAAGTGAGGAACGTGGCAGTGGTCATTTGCCTTATCTGAAGTTGCCGTGCAAGGGATTGGTGAGGCGCACGGAGGGAGCAAGCTGCCATCGTTCGAGGCGCGGACGAGACTGAGAGAGGTGATAGCAACCACTCGCCGCACACCCACGGCTTGACCACCGACTCCAGGACTTGATGTAGCGGCCGCAGCTGCCGACATTCCGCAGCATGCACAATAGCTCTATTGGACACTACTGGTCGAGAGAGAATAAATATCTGGCTCCGTTCACATTATAGTGTGTGGGGGGTGGCGCGCTGATGGGACTAAAATGTAGTTTGTAATGATGCGCGGTCACACCTCATTAGTGAGGGCTTGCCACCTATTTCAAGTTATCTTCACATACTTTAACCCCGGGGGGCGGGGGCGGAGTGGAGAGACCTATGGCCCGTGGGTGGGCTGGATAGGGCCTGTGACTTCATTTAATTCGGCACTCCGGACTGCACGCGGCCAGCGGCCACGTCAGCCCTATCACTTATTCAAGCGGGCCGCAAGCGACGTTTATCCATCACTGTGAGCGCGTCGGAGAGGAATATATTTCAACTCGGTCTACATCAGCTTGGCAAGGCCCATTGCACTAAAAGCTCGTTTACGGAACAATCAAGGCCCTTGTCGATAACTTGAGGGTATCCAGCAGAATGTGCTTAACTGACCGCAGCCGAGTTACGAGACGCAGATAAGTCAAAAGTGGCCCAGATGTGTTGTTGCCTGCGTAAGCGAACGTGGCTAGAAGACTTCGGTCCAGAAGACCCATTGGCGGATGGCTAAAACGATTTGAGCCCATTGGTTGTTGAAGGTGATCCCCGGTGTCAAAACGATGACACAAGGAGGTAGATGAGAGCTGGTTGGAGCGCCGTTGGAAAGCGGAACCTGACAATGAAAAGAAACACAGCGACGTGCCTCATTTGCACTGATAAACTTATTTATATACAGTGAGGGAAAAAAGTATTTGATGCCCTGCTGATTTTGTACGTTTACCCACTGACAAAGAAATGATCAGTCTATAATTTTAATGGTAGGTTTATTTGAACAGTGAGAGACAGAATAACAACAAAAAAATCCAGAAAAACGCATGTCAAAAATGTTATAAATTGATTTGCATTTTAATGAGGGAAATAAGTATTTGACCCCTCTGCAAAACATGACTTAGTACTTGGTGGCAAAACCCTTGTTGGCAATAACAGAGGTCAGACGTTTCTTGTAGTTGGTCACCAGGTTTGCACACATCTCAGGAGGGATTTTGTCTCACTCCTCTTTACAGATCTTCTCCAAGTCATTAAGGTTTCGAGGCTGACGTTTGTCAACTCGACCCTTCAGCTCCCTCCACAGATTTTCTATGGGATTAAGGTCTGGAGACTGGCTAGGCCACTCCAGGACCTTAATGTGCTTCTTCTTGAGCCACTCCTTTGTTGCCTTGGCCGTGTGTTTTGGGTCATTGTCATGCTGGAATATACACGACCAATTTTCAATGCCCTGGCTGAGGGAAGGAGGTTCTCACCCAAGATTTGACGGTACATGGCCCCGTCCATCGTCCCTTTGACGCAGTGAAGTTGTCCTGTCCCCTTAGCAAAAAAACACCCCCAAAGCGTTATGTTTCCACCTCCATGTTTGACGGTGGGGATGGTGTTCTTGGGGTCATAGGCAGCATTCCTCCTCCTCCAAACACGGCGAGTTGAGTTGATGCCAAAGAGCTCTATTTTGGTCTCATCTGACCACAACACTTTCACCCAGTTGTCCTCTGAATCATTCAAATGTTCATTGGCAAACTTCAGACGGGCATGTATATGTGCTTTCTTGAGCAGGGGGACCTTGCGGGCGCTACAGGATTTCAGTCCTTCACGGCGTAGTGTGTTACCAATTGTTTTCTTGGTGACTATGGTCCCAGCTGCCTTGAAATCATTGACAAGATCCTCCCGTGTAATTCTGAGCTGATTCCTCACCATTCTCATGATCATTGCAACTCCACGAGGTGAGATTTTGCATGGAGCCCCAGGCCGAGGGAGATTGACAGTTATTTTGTGTTTCTTCCATTTGCGAATAATCGCACCAACTGTTGTCACCTTTTCACCAAGCTGCTTGGCAATGGTCTTGTAGCCCATTCCAGCCTTGTGTAGGTCTACAATCTTGTCCCTGACATCCTTGGAGAGCTCTTTGGTCTTGGCCATGGTGGAGAGTTTGGAATCTGATTGCTGCTGTGGGTGGACAGGTGTCTTTTATACAGGTAACAAGCTGAGATTAGGAACACTCCCTTTAAGAGTGTGCTCCTAATCTCAGCTCGTTACCTGTATAAAAGACACCTGGGAGCCAGAAATCTTTCTGATTGAGAGGGGGTCAAATACTTATTTCCCTCATTAAAATGCAAATCAATTTATAACATTGTTGACATGCGTTTTTTTGGATTTTGTTGTTGTTATTCTGTCTCTCACTGTTCAAATAAACCTACCATTAAAATTATAGACTGATAATTTATTTTCTAGATTTGAAGCTTTCGTGACTGCAAGGATCCATACTCTTTGGTTCTATTCGGTAAAGTCACGTAAAAGTATATATATAAAATAAAAAATTCACGTTTCGGCCACAACACAAGTGCCCTTCATCAGGTGAAGGGACCAGACTGTCTCGAGGACAGCGCTGGAGTGAACACAGCCAAGCTCAGACCGCGACCTTTAAGCTTGTGTGAGAGGAATTAAGGTCCGCCAATTAAATGATCATTTTTATGCTAATTCCTTTGTCAAGGCACCTTAATTCCTCTCACACAAGCTTAAAAGTCGCAGTCTGAGCTTGGCTGTGTTCACTCCAGCGCTGTCCTCGAGACAGTCTGGTCCCTTCACCTGATGAAGGGCACTTGTGTTGTGGCCGAAACGTGAATTTTTTATTTTATATATATACTTTTACGTGACTTTACCTAATAGAACCAAAGAGTATGATAATTTATTTGTCAGTGGGCAAACATACAAAATCAGCAGGGGATCAAATACTTTTTTTCCCTCACTGTATAATATATATTTAGTCACTTCCTTAGCTTCCCTATACTTTGCATGTCTTTCGTGCTTTTGTATTTTTGTTGTTGTAACTTTCTGAGCCCGTGCCCCGACTGGAAATCTTTGATGAAGAGCTTCATAGGTCATCAGATTCCTACTCCAGTCTAAATAAATATTCTAAATGAGTTTTTTAAACAGCGTGCACCGCTTCAGCATAATGGTCATTGGGAAATGTACGGAACAAAAACTGAAGAGTGTGCAAAGAAGTATGGAGATATTGCATGCCTAGAATTCCATCGAGACGTAACTGGGAACAAATGGATTAGAAAACATATGCATGTAAATCTTGATCTGAAGCTTTCGTGACTGCAGGAATCCATACTCTTTGGTTCTTTCAGCAAAGTCACGTCGGTAGAAAAATAATAGATCACGACGTTTCGGTCGCAACACAAGCAATCGTCATCAGGTGGGACAACCACAGCAAGAAAAAAACTGCTGAAGTAGACCCACTTCAGCAGTTTTTTCTTGCTGTGGTTGTCCCACCTGATGACGATTGCTTGTGTTGCGATCGAAACGTCGTGATCTATTATTTTTATACCTACTTGACTTTACCGAAAGAACCAAAGAGTATATGCATGTAAACCCTTTCCCATTCGGAGCTGGGTGGATCGTTAACATTGCGGGACCATGAGAGATTGCAATGGATTAGTGAGGCTTTCAGCCAGCAGTGGATTGACCATGGCTGACGATGGATTATTATTTTTTTTTATTAAAAAAATCATTACAAAATATATACGGTTTTAAATCTTCATATTAATGTTTTGTGATATTTAAAAATAATAAGGAAATTTACACTGAAATAATTGATCCTTTCATGACCTTTTGATAATGACTTTAATAATCCAGACCTATGATAAAATACGTAACTAATTTTACCAAATATTATATTCATCAGAGGTTTCCATGCAAAGATTGCATTTTTACTAATTTAGCAGCATAAAATAGTTTTGCTCGACAGAGCGCTGTAGATAGGAGTGGAAACATGCTCACGCTGCAAGCGCACACTCGTCTGCGCCGCATCTCAAATGCTGATGTCAAAATAGAAATGACTGATGAGGAGCAGAAATGAATTGGCTCAGGATCTTGGGAAGTATCGTGAGCGGTCAAAACCATGACATTGGCCCGTGAGAAGCTGGCTTGGGCGCAAGATATTTGGCTGTGCAAAAATTGCAAAATAAGTCAACGCATTTGTCGCCAATTGTGCTCGTGCAGCACCGCACACGCAGCATCGCCAATCCCTTTAATAACAAGGAAAGCAGACTTCTTCGGTTCGGACGCGCGCAAAGAGATTGGTAGTTTGACAAACGACCGTCTTGAGTGAATCTGCACTGCCGCGTGAAGGAGCAAGATGCGGGGGCCGCGTGCGCGAGTGGTGGATCGATGGCGTCAAGAGGGAGGACTGAAGGGAGGCGTCCGGCCTCCTCGTCGGCCGCCCTGGTACTAGTGGTGGTGCCGCCCCCCCCCATCGGGGGGCCCTAAGCTGAAAATATTTTTTTGGAGACCGCTCCCCCCCCAGCACCTCATCTCTTACAATGTTTAACCTCCTGGTGACAAGCAGAAGAGATGTAGACAGGAAATACAGCGAGATAACAAAGATGTAGATAAAACAGGGATGCAGTGAGCTGGGACTATGTATGTATGTTGAATTTCTTTCGCACCGTACATAGCCATCCATGATAATAAGAATATAGTCACCGACAAGATAACAATGATAAAGATTAATTTACTCTTTACGTGAATTATTTTATGAGGATTCGAACTTGAGCTGATGCTTAATGAACTCCGATTGTTTCATGAATCTGGGAGCCCCTAAAGCTGCTTGGTATACAGGTTGTGGGTTTCCATGTACTCCTTGTGTTCGCTTGGATTGTTCTCCGGATCCTCCAGTTTTTCCCTCCGTATTTAGAAACATGCGTTTAGATAAGCCACTTCGTTGAGCTATCATGTGGCCAGGTCGCTTCTGAAAAAGAGCTGTATATCTCAGTTGGCCTTACCTGGTAATATAAAAAATATATATAAAGTTTAATGGTTTGCTTGATTTGCTTGTGCTCTAGGCTGCCACTGTACATTCGACTGTTGGGCCCTGGGCTGCCATTGCACGCTTAACTGGCAGAAGAGAGTGATTCTTCCTGGGTGTGGAGGAGCCAACCGGTGAAGGAGGAGGTGTGTGCGCACCTTGGCAGGCCGGCACCGGGCCATCCCAGTACAGCCAGCCCTGCGGCGTGCTCCGGCACACGGCCGAGCCGCGCCCCACCATGCGGTAGCCGGGGTCGCACACCCAGCGCACCGTGCCGCCCACGTGGCCCCCGATCTGGCTCTGCAGGGAGCCGTGCTGGGGCGGTGGGGGGGTGCTGCAGTAGGCCGCTGGAGGTGGGCACAAGAAGAAGAAGACGGTTCGGATCATTAGACACGCGTAGTCCACGCGTAGGGCATTGAGTTTGCTTCCAGTGACTTCGTAGTTGCAACGTTTAATGGGGTTAAAATGAACAGTAAGACAACGATGTACGCGCGCAAGCTTACACCCCCCCACCCCCCACCCACCTCCATATCGGATGCGGAAGCCTTTCTTATTCGTGGCCTGGTCGGCCGCCCACCGCAGGTGGACGTGGTGGCCGTGGCTGGTCACGTTCATGGGGTGTGAGTGGTTGCCGCTTAAAGCCAGCAGCACGGGGCTCTCGCTGTTGATGCCTGCAAGGGGGGATTGGCAGAGTAGGAGAGGCTGAAGGTGGTTCAAACTTTTACCGGACACGAATTCCACCGACCCTTGAACTTTTCTAGTTGGCAATATGAAACAATATAGGCGCCGCGGTGGGGCGAGATGTTAACTACCTCGCCTAGTATGTAAACTACCTCACGAGATGTTAACTACCTCGCCTAGTATGCAGAATGTTGGGGGTTCGATCCCGACCCTGACGCCTGCTGTATGTTGGTCACGTGGATTTTTCTCCGGGGCCTCCGGTTTTTTCCCTCTACATTTAGAAAAATGCGTTTAGAGTATTTGGCTGCTATACATTTCCACGTGATAAGCCACTTAATTGAGCTATTATTTGTGATTGCTAAGTTGCTTCTGAAAAAAAGCTTTGTAGCTGAGTGGGCCTTACCTGGTAAAATAATAAGTTTTTTTTATAGTTTAAGAGTTGCCAGGGGCCCCCCCAAGGGCCTTGTGAATTTTAGTATTCACAGATTTACGTAGTGTCTCTGTAAATTCCTGTACAACAATCATTGCCCAAGACCAAGAAGAACAAATCACTCGAACGTTTGTCGAATGCAGGCTCGTGACTGTCCTCACCGTCAAATATTTCCAGCAAGTCGTATTCTTTCTCGCTCTGGAAAAACTCCACCGACACGGTGATGTTGTAACCCCTCTCGACGGAGACCGTCCACGTGCACATCTGAAAGTTTGGATAGTTTCTTGGAAACTCGGGGCTCAAAATGACGCCGTAGCTCGCCGTGCGGACCTCGTTGTTTGGGCACTGAGCTGTGGAGGGATGTGGGGAAAGAAAGTGAGCACGTAGCATTCGGCACGACGTGGCACTTTGGACGGCAGTGAGCACACGGGCCAGGGAGAGCCGATCGCCAATGGCCTAAAACAACCACCAGGGGCAAGCAAGGGAATCTAAATGGAAGGTTTGAAGCAAGTTGGACTCGTTAGGAAAATTTTATTTGGACACTTTAAGAGCTCATTTAACCACATTTTGGCTAACCGTCTGCGGCCGTCTGGAACGCTCTTCCTTCCGATATATGCACTTTAAAATCATCTAGATTGACAAACTCGATTTAAAGCTTTCGTGACTGCAGGGATTCATCTTCTTGGTTCTTTCGGTAAAGTCACGTAGAATGGAAATATTTGTATTATTTTATTTCCATTCTACGTGACTTTACCGAAAGAACCAAGAAGATTGACAAACTAATTTCTTTCAAACTGCTTTTGTGTTTAGTTTGTTGTCCTTCCCCCACACTTCCGATTAGCGTGGTTGGCTAGGTAAGGTTCAAAAGAAGTTCAAAATATTCATGTATTTTCCTCGTATGGCACAACCACGCTAATACCAACCTGTCCAGGACCAAACGCATCTGGTAGACCGCTTAATGTTCAGAGTATTTGGCCGCTGTAAATTTACACGTGATTATCCACTTCATTTGAGATATCATTTGTGGCCAGGTCTCTTATGAAAACGAGCTACGTAGCTCAGTGGGCTTTACCTGATAAAATAGAAATTGCTTCATAGTTTCGTACCTCCGATTAGCACGGCTGGCTACGTACGGCACGAAACAAGTTGAACGTACACGCAAGGCCGGTGTGGCACCTCCGGGGTGGAGCGGCAACACGCACCGGGGACACGTTTTCGACAGTGCTGGAGAAGCAATGCATTATGGATGCCTCCAGCCCACACCTGCTGCTGTTGCTTAACAAGCACAGCACTTGCTTTCAATATTATTGTTATAATTTTTGAACGATTATTTAGAATATCTTCTTGCTATTCCTTTTTTCAGATTACGGGTTGAAAGTGACGTGATTATTGCACAACTCATACACATTGTTAATAATGTTCCGTGTTCATTTGCATTGATTGTATGGTCAATTGTTTTTTGTTATAGTGAATTTGTGGTGATAAAATGTTTTACTCATGTCAAAATAAAATGACCTCAGTGATAACTTAAGAGGGAAAAAGGTGCCACAATTTTATGCTCAATGTCAGATCATTAAAACGGTCTTCACAGCCCGCATGCGGAGGTCGGATTCACGACATCCTGTTCTCAAGCCCTACAGGTCTCTAGGGAGACCGGAGCACAATCTGTGTACGCCGTTGCACAGATCCCAAGGTGGGGCGAGACGGCAATGGGGATCCAGATGGACAGCGCGGTTGAGACCGGGCAGGATGGCGAGACCTGGAGGGAGATGCCGCCAATCCTCAGGAAAGAGGACGGCACCAGACTAAAACAAAGATCCCCCGTATAACCTATACACACTGTTGGGGCATGCAAGTGCTGTTAGCGAGCACCTGTAAAGGCCGGCGTGGCACACGAGGGGGTGGGTGGCCAGCATCACGCCTCGCCGCCTTTGTCTCCGCAGTGGCGACGTTTACACATCGCACCGGGGGCTCATTTGAGACCGGTTCTAATAATCGTCACTGGTATTGGCCGTGAGCGGGAATCAAACTCAGTTTGCCGGGTTTGTAGCGCGGCGTGCTAACCGCTGCACCATGGCTCCAGCCACGCACATGCACACACACACACGCGTGTTACCTTCACATGACGGCGGAGTCCCATCTGGTTCGAGGCGTGATTTAAGTTTGCATGTTATCTCTTCCTTTCCGACAAGCGTGAACCCAGGCAAACATCTGTACTTAATCACATTACCTGCAAATACAAATGTCACGTACAGCTACAATGGCACGACATCACGTTTGCAGAATGTTTGATAAAATAACTTGAAAGTGCTCACAAATGGTGTGTGGAAAAAAAAACCCATTCATATTAGAGTTTTTGTTGGATTAGATAGCGTAAATATAAATGTGTCGTTAAAATCCGCAAATGCCTGACACAGCCAATTAGTTACTAGTTCAGAATTCTGCCTGTCGCCTGATGAGGCTGGTTATAATTACTGGCAAAACGTCGCTAACTCAAATTGTAAATGTTGTAGTGGGTTTACTCTTCAACACACTGGTGTGCTGTACGAGTAACGAATTGGCACGTTTTATTTACGTTGCAAACCTTACCAATTGTCTGTGTCGGGTGGTGGCGGATTTAACGACACATTTATATTTACGCAATCTAACCCCCAAAAAACCTATATTATGAATATGGGTTTTGAAAGCATCCTACTTGGTGTTAAATAATTATTCACGGTACAGATTGAGGCAACAGAGGGAAAACATTCGTGTGTTTATATTTTTTGATGAGCCACTTCCCATATTGTATACCATTATGTACTAAGTAACATTGTTAAATCCAGAGGCAGATATATGCACGTACAGGTTACAAATATAACATACTAAGTGGTTCAGAACGTATGAAGATCAGGAACTTTGATTTGTCAGAGAATAATCTTGGATGAAAAAAAGCAAACGGTTTAATTGATCGCATCAACGGACGGAACACATCCATACTGACCTATTGCGAACTCCTCGGTCTCGGTGAGAACTTCAGAGTGGGCCCCAGTGGAGGGCACCACGCACGACATCAGTTGATAAACTGGCATATGGAGGGGGCGCACACAGCACACGCCCACCACATCACGGCGCAATTCTGTCAGTACTATTTACACATCGTTGGCGCGATCGTTGTTAAACCATACACGTATTTTGACTGAGTCTCGAGTCTTGCCTGCAGTGACTCGTCCATCGTGGCCACAGTGCTCATTATGGTGCAAACAAGCAAACGAACATCCCCTGTCGAGCCTGCAATGGGACTGTCGGGGCAAGCGCCTGTAAGCTCGCACATCTAGCACACGCCTTGTTGTAACACGTGCAACAAGAGGGCATGATGATAGCTTTGAAATGGATGAGTAATTACATCGAATTGCTGTAGAGATAATACGTAGCAATAATTATCTGGCAATTACTGCGAGGCTGCCCGTACTGCGATGATACGGTCAATGAGCAGCTATCAAGAGGGGACTCCACATATATGGTTCCCAGAAGGCAGACTCCGCAGCAGTGAGCATTTGTGACCATGCTATACTGATGAGTCCTGTCCTGGTGAGAAACCCGTCTGCAATTGTTTAACTCTGCATCACTGTCGCCTTTCCACCCCATCACAATCGCTCAAATGTACTTGCGATGGTGACCTATGACATGAGGAACACAGTGTCATTCTTCAGGAACCGGCTGATGGATTTCTGTGTGCAATGTACAAGGGCTTAGTGCTTTTTACACATTTCTGTGCGTTGTTTGACACTCATTAGCAAATAATGAATATAATCCATCTTGATTTAGGAAGCATCTGAATGCCACCACATCTCTGGATGCTGCAGTTGTAATATAAGAGGGATTCACTGTTATATTATAAAACGTCGACGACACTGCTTAAAGTAAAGTCTTGGTGCAACAGGAAGAGTGATACGGGCCCCATATTGCGCTCACGTGAGCGTTCTCCCTGCAGTGGAAACGGCCTTGTGCTGCCAACGACAACAGCAACCGCCATTCACCACTGAGTGGGGCTGACGTCACCATGGGCGCCTGGGCCAGGCCATGTGCACTTTAAGGCCACGTGAAGTGTCGAACGCCCGCTGGCAGAAGGTCACGGGACAGACCCAGGTGCCATGGGTCGATTGACTTGAGATGACCAATGACAGAACACACACCTCTCTGGTCCGTAACAACGGCTGCAGTTGTCGGCGCTAATAGGACGCGTTTCAATCGTCAGCAGCACCTTCACCGGTCGATTGCAGATTGCATCCATAATGTAAAGGGGCAGCGCTATGCTAATTCCCTGCTGCACACCGCCATGGTATTTTTTATTTATCACAGCAAAAAAAAATACGTCGCGTTTTGCAATGGCAAACAGAAAACGCGCACTTAATGAAAGCCATGACCCTAACTTGACTCCATAAAATCGAACCGCGAAGAACTGCATTGTGTGCAATGCTGACAGCGCAAACAAAGCGCACAACATCCCCTGGCAGCGAACACGCGCACACACACAAATATCCCGTGTATAGCCTGAACAGACTGTTGGGGCAAGCGCTGTTAGCGAGCACTTGTGAAGGCCGGCACGGCACACACCGCACCAGGTAATCATTTAAGGCTGAGTCGACCTAAGGGAGGCCGAGGACCAGTTCAGATATTCGTCACTGATGTTAGCAGTGAGCGGGGAATCGAACTCGGGTCGCTGGGTTCGTAACGCACCGTGCTAACATACACACACATGCACGAACATGCACGCACGCACGAGTGCCACCACCGCAGCTCTCTGGAATCCTCTCGCAAATCGCAGGAATGGGGACAAACTCTCTGCACTCTGTCCGATCTTGAGCTTCTTCATCTCACTGTACGTGCCACTCCCCTCCCCGCCCTTACCTCCTTTAAGTTGTCAAGCAGGTATCTTTTCTTTACTGTCATCCTTCCTTCAAGAGCTGCCTTCATTTAACTTTCCACAGTTGACACTTTTCTTTTCCTCAACCTGCTTGAGAAGTTCCTCAAATCTCTCTGTGTCAATTCAACTGATTTCCTCCCTTTAATACCACAACCCACATCTCAGTCTTCTCATGGCTTCCTTTCTCAGCATCCCGGCTTCTGCCACTTACAACACTACAACTTCATTCTAGATGTGAAGCTTTCGTGACTGCAAGGATTCATACTCTTTGGTTTTTTCGGTAAAGTCACGTAGGTAAAACAAAATTAAAATAAAAGAAAACAACTAAATCAAATCACGACGTTTCGGAGGCAACACAAGCTTCCGTCTTCAGGTGGAACAGTCACAGCAAGATAGCTGCATCAAGTGGTGAGCTCTGAGACCCTCGAGCTTATATACAGGCTAAGGTGGGGGGGAGGAGCCAAGCAGGGAGCCACGACGGCGTGCGGGGCTAAGGTTAAGGTGGGGGGGAGGAGCCAAGCAGGGAACGACGACGAGGCTAAGTTAATCTGTCTTTTTTTATGTTGAGGGTTCGGGGGAAGCGGTGGTTCACTGCACGGGGGCAATGAAAAAAATGGTAAAAAAAAGGCTGTGCGCTTATAAGGTAGCTGAAGTTTTAACTTGGTTTATGACATCTTTCCAGTGGTTGCTTAATTTAAAACCATCCTCTCGGTTGAAGTTGTGTCTATGTTTGTATATCTGGATGGCTTCATGGACAAATCTTTGGTAATAACCGGGAGGTTTGCATAGTACTTTGGTATCAGAGAAAACAATGTCATGAGAACCTCCTAGAAGGTTCTCATGACATTATTTCACTTGTCCCCTCTGTCATCCTTTCCCCACATTCCTTCCTCCAGCCTATCCCCTGACCTGCTGACCGACAGGGCTGCTTCAACAGCAGGTCCCCTTTTTTCCAGCAACCAGCGCTACACGCCATAGTGACCTATTCCATGTCACTACACTAGTGTAGTGTTTTTATTTCACGCGGACAGAACTCTTCGCGTTAAACACCACGTAACTCCGTCGCAACTCTCCCGCTTGCGCTGCTCGCCTGCTGCACTCGCTCCGCTCTCTCAGCCTCTCCACTGCTAGCCTGCTCTTTCTCTCACTCTCTTAGCCTCTCCGCTGCTAGCATATCACTACGCACTCTGGTAGCTTCCCACAGTACCCTCTGCTAGCCTCTCCCGATACGTCGTTTCGTTTCCCCAATGTAACTGCTTCTGCAGCCACAACTTAGCTTATAGACACCAGGAATCACATCCTTTACAGATGGGATCAGATCACGGATTTTCTGTTCTATGTTGAAAGGAACCTGGATCTTGTGATTGTTTAAGATTTTGTAAATCTTGTTGGTAACCCCTGCTATGTATGGCAAGGTGATGGTTTTGATTGGGTCCTCAGATGGTTGTCTTCCCATGGCTGGGGAGACAGCTTTGCGGATTGTACGGTCAGAATATCCATTCATCCTGAGGACTTGGTGTACGTGCTCCAGCTCACTGGCTAGGTGGTGCTGGTCGGAGATGCAATTGGCCCTATGGTGAAGTGTTTTGATGAGGGAATTCTGCTAGCTTCTCCACTGCTAGTCTTCGCGCACTCACACTTAGGACTCCGCTAGCCTCTCTACTGCTATCTTGTCTGCCCATGAGGCGTGTAGAGCAGGCCCGGGACTTCTCTTGTGTGCACTCTCCTCTTCACTCCGACCAACTCCCCTCACAACTCCCCCACGCTCCCGTATATATCCCCCTCCTTATTAACTCCTCATTAATTAAGCTGGTGACCTCCCATCACCTCACGCCCGTGGCTTCCGCCGCTATCTCCTCAATCTCCCGTCAACCTGGCGCCTGGTCCGCGCCTGCATTTGCAGTCAGCCAATCACCGCTATGCATCTTAATTAGCCGCCTGGATTTGCAGCCAGCCAAATCACTGCTATGCATCGCCTTTCCCTTGCTCTCTGTTGCCGCACCTGTTCGCCCCGATGCGACCTCACTGTCCGTAACTCGCACATGTGTGCACACCGCTTGCAAACACCCGCGCGCTACTCATTGGTTTTTTTTTTTTCCGGTAAAGTCACGTATGTAGAAATACAATAAAATTATATTAATACTTTATTACCCGCGCGCTACTCCACTACACTAGTATAGCACACCGGCATTTTTTGTTTACGTGACAAACCTAATTGGCTGTGTCGGGTGGTGGTGGGTTTAACAACACATTTATATTTATGCGATCTAACCCAAAAAATCTGTATTATGGACAACTCCATACAAGGGTCATGCCCGAACTGTCAACACGGCGTTCATGGTGTGTACAGACGCAGATTAGCGGCATGCAGCGCACGTTCTCTGCTTGGGCAATGCGTAACACTGCAGTCTGTTTGCATGCCGTGGTCGCGAAGCGGTGAGCGGAAACCTTCCGCTTCCTGCCTGGCTACACTCTCGTGGGCCACTCCGTCCTGTCATGCTGCCACGGACGCAGCCACAAACTGGGACCACCCCATCCCCACCTGCCAAGGTCACACGGCACCTCCTCCCCCGTGTGAGCCGCCAGCGTTCTGCGCCCGTGTGCGTGCACTTTGAAGTGCACCTGGCTTGGCACAGGCACCGTGGTAACGTTACCGTCACTTAGTGGCGAATGGTGGGTATTGGTATTGGTGTTTGTGTGCGTGCATCAGTGTGGGGAACGGTAGTTTTTGTGGTTGGCGTGCCGTGTTTCGAACCTGGCAAGCCGAGTTCAATTCCTGCTCGCGGCCCACACCGGTTGACAATTGTCTAAATCGGTGCTGGGCCTCCCCTAGGTCAACACAGCCTCAAATGAGTGCCTGGTGCAGTGTGTAAACATCGCCACCGAGGAGACAAAGGCGGTCGAGCGTGGTGCTGGCCACCCACCCCCTCGTGTACCGTGCTGGCCGTCATAGGTGCTACTTGCTAACGGCACTTGCCCCTACAACAGTCTTTGTCTAGGCATGCTGCAAACTTGTGTGCCACAGGGCTGCGTACATAAAGGACACAAACCTTACACAATCCATCGGGCTCCAAGCTTCCTTGCAGATGACGTGCTGGCTCTTAGCGCGCGGCTAAAGAAGCGCAAGCTAGAAACGCTTCATCTACCTCGCGGAGGGCAACCGTCTGTGAAGGGCGCGTTCGCCAGCCACGGTTGTTTCAGTTAAAATTCGAGACTAACATCCGTCAACGTTGCCCCCTTCGCTTTCCAGGCCATCGTTCATGCGATTTTAATTCCGCGGGCAGCCCCCGTGAGCTCGGCCTCGCGGCCTCCCGGCCACCGCATCCTTAAAGTAGCCTGGGGACGAGTTAAACACTCGCCATGAAACCCAGGTTTAAAAAAAACACAAACAACATAATAAAATAATATTGCACAGCGAATCCCCAACATGTATCTGCACTATAATTAATATGGCAGATTTAAATTGGTATTTTTTTTAGATACAGTGTGCTATTTGATAATAATCTATATTTAACTTAATTTGACTTAGAATTGAATAATATACCGATTATTTTTGCTAGCTATTCTTCATTTCGCTCATCTGTTATTGTTTTTATTTTACTGTGACTTGTTGCATACGTCGGAGTAAGCGGAGGTGTTGTTTTTTGTTGTTCATGAAACCCGATTGGCTCACAAGGTCATTCAAAGTGAACTAAAACTGAACATTGAAGGGAACTCAAATAAATTAATAAATACCAAGACCATCGTGCCTTACGAACTAAAAAGATATAGCCAAGACAAGCTACAACTGCGCGTGTGCGTGTGTCTCTGCGACGGTGTGAAGGTGCCAGCCTCCACTCACCATGCCACCTGTCTCTATGTAACCAATGAAGACCCCGATTGATACCTGCCTAAGGCTGACATGAGCGGCGAGTTATGTCTGGTGCGGTCCTGGTCCCGACCGCATCAACCCGCACTGATGCGCCATAAAGGTCGGTCACACAACCACGATGGCCGACACGGACGTGAAGGAGGTATTCACCCACATGTTGATTGACACGGGAAGACGAATTATCGTTATTATCACAGTTACGCACACATTCATGTACGTATATTGAACTTCTTTCGCGATGTATGTGGCCAACCGTGCTAATCGGAGGTGAGGATAACACGCACGTATTACCAATGGTTCATTAGTACGGTTGGCTATGTACGGTGCGAAAGAAGTTCAACATACGTGCATACACACACACATACAAACAACACAAGCGTGGAGCGCATTGCGTCATTTTTGGTCTCTGCGTGACGACCCGAGCTCATGGGCATGGCAGCACCTTGGTAGCTGAGCACGAAGAAGCCGCTGGTGGAGAAGTCGCTGTGGAACTTCACGAGGACCTGGTGAGAAGTGCTGCGCACCGACTCCAGCGCCGTGTTGCCACTGAACTGGCCGAGTTGCGGAGAGTCCTGGTCCAGTCCATCCCTGAAAGCGTCAACACAAACAACCACCGTCATCGTCATCAGCGTCGACGCGTTCCACGCGCTTGCTAAGAGGCGTCCGCGCCGCCTGAGCCCAACCTGCAGCCAGCCGGGAAACTCGAGGCATAGATCATTTTTTTAATAGTGATACGATTATTATCACAATGATGCTGGATGTTTATTCTGTTACGGGCTTCATGTGTAATAATATCTGGGAGTACACACACACACAAATATATATTCAGTGGTTTCATTTTAATAAAACACATAATCAGAAGGCTAATTTCACTCACTTGATTAATAATTCATTATTTCTATTAATCCACACATAAACTCAATAAACCTGCTTACATTACCAAGTAATTTGCATTTAAATGGAATTTAAAGTTTGCCAAACGCCCCCAAACATTGTTAATGTCAATACTACCCAATCACATACGAAGTGTTAAAATACGTGGAAAAGAGCTGACCAGCCATGCAAGTTAATATCCCAGAAAATTAATGAGGAATGATTTAATAAATTGCCAAAATAGATATTAAAATATACATGAAAGATTGAACAAGCAACTTCAGTAATTAAAACCCAAGTTGTGAAATCTAGAGAGAGAGACCCATAATCGCGATGACAATTGATCATAATGCCACCTACACAGGTTGAGTGATGTACACAATTTTAAGGCTATTATGGATGGTTTAACCCACAGCTGCACCTTCTTAATGTAACAGGTGCGGTTATGTCTGTGATAAGTCGTGCATATGATCGCACCCTCTAGTGACAGAACGTGCTGGGACTGGGATTGTGAACTTCTTATTCTTCTTTCGTATGGCTGATGTTGATGCAGAGCAAAACAACTACAATTTCACATTCAGATGGTCAAGCCAGATAACTGGGTCAGAAGTAGCGGAATGTATCGCCGTGATATCTCCTTCGTATTGGGCACTACGGTGGAAAGATATTAACTCCCTCGCCTGGTAGGCAAGAGGTTGTTGGTTCGATCCAGACCCTGATGCCTGTTGTATATTTGGAGTTTGCATGTCTGTCTCCCCATGGTCGCGTGGATTTTTTTCCGGGTCCTCCGGTTTTTCCGTCCACATTTAGAAACATGCATTTAGAGTATTTGGCCGCGATAGATTTCCACGCGATAAGCCACTTCGTTGAGCTACCATTGTGGCCAGGTCGCTTTTGAAAAAGAGCTCTATAGCTCAGTGGGCCTTACCTGGTAAAATAAAAAAAGTTTTATAGTTTTCGCATACGTGGATCGGGCATTGCGTCGCTATATGTTGTACTCTGGTCTGTTCTGGATGACCACAGTCCCACGCTGGAGAGTTTAAAATTGTCCATTTGTGCATCAGGTATCCACATCTACTGCCATGGGTCATGATTGGCTAAGTGCAAATGGGCGGCGCGTCAACGGACGCACTTAAGCGGGCGTGACTTTGAATACAAAGCCACGTGGAGGCGCTGAGAGAGGGCACGACAACGGGGCGTGCTGTGGGCTGAGTCGTGACCTTGGGGAGATCAGGGCACTGAGGGTGTGCCAATACAGGCCCTGGTTGCGTGTGCAAATAAACGGGCGCCACTCTGCTTAAACACATTCCTGCGGAGGGAGTTAGTAGGAACGTTGGGTTGCTCGGTCAATGGCCAGGGTCAACGGCGGCGTGGTGTATTCCGCAAATATGCCCGACTGTGAGGGCGGGCACAAGCCGGCGTGAGTAGGTTAAACGTTGAGTTTTATAAGGGCACCACGGGGTGACCAGCCCCTCCCCACCCAGCCCCACCCTCCGCACCCAGCCCCTCCCCACCCTCTCCACCCAGCCCCTTCCTCCCCACCCAGCCCCTCCCCACCCTCCCCTCTCCACCCAGCCCCACCCCTCCAATTTTTGGATGCACGACGGACGGACGGACACAAAAATCCTCTGTGGGCTGGTGTAACCAGGAGGTTCCTACCAGTATCACCATCCTATAGGAGCGACCCTGCATGCAGTGGCGGGCGTGTGAGAGAGTACGGCAACACAAGAGAGAGAGACCGAGCTGGAGGGAGAATATGAGGCGGAGTACGACGGAACTCTGACGGTCGGATTGAATGAGAACCACCGCTGAGTTCTCGGTGTTGATCACGGCCAGAGGAGAGAGAGAGACATGCAGTGGTTACCTCAGCAGCAATAACAAAATACATAATACAGGTTTTTTGGGTAATTATATATTTACGCAATCTAACTAAAAACAAACCTGTATTGTGGATGTTATTGGTCGTGAAAGCCTACTACGTGTTAAACAACTTTAGTAGAGTTTGTTTTGGGTTAGATGGCGTAAATATAAATGTGTCGTTAAACCCGCCACCACTCGACACAGCCAACTAGTAAGGATTGTTACGTAAACAGAACGTGCCAATTCGTCACTAATACAGCACACCGGTGTGTTGGAGAGCCAAGCCACAACATTTACAATCTGAGTACGGCGACAGCCAGAATTGTGGAGAAGTCCATCTGTTTCATTCCTTATATAGAGACGTAGATGTGGTGACCACACTTCTACGCTCTTGAGTCAACATACATTATGCATGCGCATTATGCGGGCCCATTGATATATTTATATATCGCGTAAATCTATATATTTATGCAATTTTTGGGTTAAATCGCGTAAATATAGCCACGTGTATATATATTTACATAAGATTGAATGGGTATCCATATATTTACAGACGTTTGGTTTATGAAATTTCACATTAACACAATTGACAAATTGTGGATACTTTCTGATTAACGAAATGGAAATTCAATGCAAACGAAATTTCACGACGGCCAGGCGCGCCGTGAGATCGTCAAACGAGAAGTCACCCAGGAGGCTGAGGCGTCTTCATCCGCGTCAGCGTCACGGTGTCCCTGCAGTGCAGCAGCAACGCCTCCACCATCGCCTTGCCACTCATTGCAACATGCAGCAGATCTCTTGGTGGGTTTCCTTATCAACCAGTTGTGATGTTCCCATCCTACCACCTTCCGATGTTAGTTGTTATTTTTGACTCTGATTTGACATTAACAGGTTAAATTTCTCACTCAAACACAGTCACCTCGCTCCCCGAGCTCGAGGTTTTGCTTTGCGATCTCCCATCAACATGCTAATCTCTCACAGTAACATGCTAATCTCTCACATTAGCATGTTCATCTCTCACATTAACATGGTCATCTCTCACATTAACATGCCAATCTCTCTCATTAACATGCTCATCTCTCACAGTAACATGCTAATCTCTCACAGTAACATGCTAATCTCTCACATTAGCATGTTAATCTCTCACATTAACTAGGTCATCTCTCACATTAACATGCCAATCTCTCACATTAAGATGCTAATCTCTCACATTAACATGCTAATATCTCACATTAACATGCTAATCTCTCACATTAACATGCTAATCTGTCACATTACCATGCTAATATCTCACATTAACATGCCAATCTCTCACATCAACATGCTGATATCTCACATTAACATGCTAATCTCTCACATTGACATGCCAATCTCTCACATTAACATGCTAATCTCTCACATTGCCATGCCAATCTCTCACATTAACATGCTAATCTCTCACATTGACATGCCAATCTCTCACATTAACATGCTAATCTCTCACATTAACATGCCAATCTGTCACATTAACATGCTAATCTTTCACATTGACATGCCAATCTCTCACATTAACATGCTAATCTCTCACATCAACATGCTGATCTCTTACATTAACATGCTAATATCTCACATTAACATGCCAATCTCTCACATTAACATGCTAATCTCTCACAGTAACATGTTAATCTCTCACAGTAACATGTTAATCTCTCACAATAACATGCCAATCTCTCACATTGACATGCTAATCTCTCACATTACCATACTAATCTCTCACATTGGCATACCAATCCCTCACATTAACATGCCAATCTTCCACATTAACATGCTCATCTCTCACATTAACATGCCAATCTCTCACATTAACATGCTAATCTCTCACAGTAGCATGCTAGTCTCTCACATTAACATGCCAATCTCTCACATTAACATGGTAATCTCTCACAGTAGCATGCTAATCTCTCACATTGACATGCTAATCTCTCACATTAACATGCTAATCTCTCACATTAACACGATAATCTCTCACATTAACATGCTAGTCTCTCAAAGTGACATGCTAATCTCTCACATTAACATGCTAATCTCTCACATTAACATCCGAATCTCTCACATTAACATGCTAATCTCTCACATTAACATGCTCATCTCTCACATTAACACGCTAATCTCTCACATTAACATGCTAATATATCACAACATGCTCATCTCTCACATTAACATGCTAATCTCTCACATTAACATGCTAATCTCTCACAATAACATGCTCATCTCTCACATTAACATCCTATTCTCTCACATTAACATGCTAATCTCTCACATTAACATGCTAATCTATCACATTAACATGCTAATCCTCACAATAACATGCTAATCTCTCACATTAACATTCTAATCTATCACAATGACATGCTCCTCTCTCACATTAACATGCTAATATCTCACATTAACATGCTAATCTCTCACAATAACATGCTCATCTCTCACATTAACATGCCAATCTCTCACATTAACATGCTAATATATCACATGCTAATCTTTCACATTAACATGCTAATCTATCACATTAACATGCCAATCTCTCACATTAACATGCCAATCTCTCACAATAACATGCTCATCTCTCACATTAACGTGCCAATCTTTCACATTAACATGCCAATCTCTCACATTAACATGCTCATCTCTCACATTAACATGCTAATCTCTCACATTAACATGCTAATCTATCACAATGACATGCTCATCTCTCACATTAACATGCTAATATCTCACATTAACATGCTAATCTCTCACATTAACATGCTAATCTCTCACATTAACATGCCAATCTCTCACATTAACATGCTAATATATCACATGCTAATCTTTCACATTAACATGCTAATCTATCACATTAACATGCCAATCTCTCACATTAACATGCCAATCTCTCACAATAACATGCTCATCTCTCACATTAACATGCTAATCTTTCACATTAACATGCCAATCTCTCACATTAACATGCTCATCTCTCACATTAACATGCTAATCTCTCACATTAACATGCTAATCTATCACAATGACTTGCTCATCTCTCACATTAACATGCTAATATCTCACATTAACATGCTAATCTCTCACATTAACATGCTAATCTCTCACATTAACATGCCAATCTCTCACATTAACATGCTAATATATCACATGCTAATCTTTCACATTAACATGCTAATCTCTCACATTAACATGCCAATCTCTCACATTAACATGCCAATCTCTCACATTAACATGCCAATCTCTCACATTAACATGCCAATCTCTCACATTAACATGCCAATCTCTCACATTGACATGCTAATTCTTACTGGGCAGCCCCTTAATTGGTGGGAAAACCCACCACCGGCACGGTCGCTGCCCACCACTCACATTAACACTGGCTGCTGACATTTGGGCTACGCCCATTTCAAACCTTTATAAACAGTTTACCTTTATAAGCGAACCCCCTCTTCCTGATGACGAACGCTTGTGTTGAGATTGAAACGTCGTAGTTTTTTGTTATTTTTTGTTATTTTCTTTGAACCTATCTACGTGATTTTGCCAAAAGACCCAAATAATATTTTCCTTAAAATAGTTAATTATTTTTTGTTTTCAATTAATTAGTATTCAATCGTTTTAATATTTACGTTCCTTATTGTTATTTTTGTGTCGTGAGAAGTGATATAGGTGTATATGTATCATGAGAAGTGATATAGGTGTATATGTATCATGAGAAGTGATATAGGTGTATATGTATCATGAGAAGTTATATAGGTGTATATGTATCAGGAGAAGTGATATAGGTGTATATGTATTGTGAGAAGTGATATAGGTGTATATGTATCATGAGAAGTGATATAGGTGTATATGTATCATGAGAAGTGATATAGGTGTATATGTATCGTGAAAAGTGATATAGGTGTATATGTATCATGAGAAGTGATATAGGTGTATATGTATCGTGAAAAGTGATATAGGTGTATATGTATCGTGAGAAGTGATATAGGTGTAAATGTATCGTGAGAAGTGATATAGGTGTATATGTATTATGAGAAGTGATATAGGTGTATATGTATCATGAGAAGTTATATAGGTGTATATGTATCGTGAGAAGTGATATAGGTGTATATGTATCGTGAGAAGTGATATAGGTGTATATGTTTAGGTTATGAGAAGAGTTTGGAACGACAATCTGGAACACAATCCTGATTTTTTTGTGATTAAATTAACGGGAAGCGCCATTGCGATTTACGAAATTTCGTTTTTAATGCTTGTTTTGTGAATAACGCATCGAGGGACAACCTGGATCATAAACAAAATAAAGATGCTGCCCTGTAATTACTTGCTCACGCCACTGCTGGCAAAAGGCCCTTCCATAAGAGGATCCTCCAAGAAACCCACACGAGGGGTGGTTTTGGCCATCTCTTCTTCGCTCACCAGGCTTCATGGTGGAAGAGGCAGGAATAATAAAGACAATATCTCACCACATGTGACTTTCCAATCGACTAATTGTGGTGCGATTAGTTTTTTTTAACAGCTGGGCGCACACGGGCAGGACGTTTAAGAAACGTCCGTTCAAAGATCGAACCGGCAACTTCTGGATTGCATGTCCGGCGCGCTACCCGTTACACCACAGCAGCGTCCGCGAAGCATCACAACTCGAACAAACGAGTCCCACAAGGCGCACACAAAGACACTCGACATAAACGTGTATCATCTCTGCTGAATGGATATTGTTCCACGAGGCGGCACAGCAATCTACGGGACCTAAAAAGATCCGATCTCTCTCGTCGACCACGGCAGACATCGCGCAGAATGTCAGTTGCCTTTATTGGTTCCTAAACAAGCTAAAAAAAGGAATCATGGTACCGCTCCTCTGCAATGTGCACTCCGCGCTTCAACGCTCAACAGCGAATCAGCGGGCGCATTCAAAAGCAACAGCGGGACTGGCGCGTACCGCAAAGTTGCCACATCCCCCGTGCACCTCCAGGCTAGCGAGCGAGGGTGCAGCAAGACAGTTAATAAACCAATTATTTTACTGCACTGGGAGTACTCAATGTCCGCTCACGCATACTAAGTGCACTCGGGCAATCAAAGGCCCGTGGCTTTTCACGTCGAGGAAGTTTTTCACAAAAATGCCCCACGTTCAACCACGACCGGCCATTGGCTCTCGATTAAAACTGTCGATGCAGGAAATTAAAAGTCACAGACAAGCGAAAATACAAAACTTGCACAACAGACTCGAAAATATTAAGGCCAATGAAACAATACATCTACACTGACATTCACACAGCAAATGCCTTGCGGAAGGTGCTGGGTCACAAGTCGTATAAATTCCAGTTCTATTAGGGTTTAACATTTTAAGTGACAAATGTTAAAAGTTAAAATTGTCAAAATGATTTAACCACCTCTACGAGCAATGACAAGAGCTGCAGGAAATTATTCAAAGAACTTCACGAGCAAGGCTTCAGAGCCGGGCTTAAAGTAAATATGAGTGTCGTGAGTCGCGTATCAATAAGTTCTCTGTATCGTCTCGCTGTATAGAATCTTTCAGATTTTTCATGCTGCGTTTTTTTGATCTTCATGCGACGGCGCTGTGAGTGGCAGATTTGTGGCGGAGAGGCGTCACGAGAATGCAAACAACAAAATTACAACCCCCCCCCGACCCCCCCTCTGGCCTTCGTACCTGATTGGCTCACAAGTGATGACATCACATGTATCCCTCTATTTAAGACTGAAACAGGAGGAGAGTTTCTCCACAACTCTGGCTGTCGCCTGATGATGCTGGTTGTTGTTTGCAATTACCGGCGAAACGTCACGGTACTCGAATTGTAAATGTTGTAGTGGGTTTACTCTCCAACACACAACCGGTGAGTTGAACTAGTAACAACCAAAAAGACATGCGTCAGGGTCGGGATTGAACCCACATCTTCCTGCGCACTAGGCAAGGCAGTTAACATCTCTCCCCACCGCGGCGCCCCAACACGTGACAACAAAGGCTTTGTCTCCGATGCTGGACCACCCACCAGACGGTGATGTAGTCGTAGACAGGCTCGGTGTGCAGCTGTGTGAAGTTGACGAACACGCCATATCCCAGCGGGACCTTGATGAGCCAGTAGCAGTCCTGAAAGTCCGGGTACTCGTCCGGATACCCCGGAGAGTAAATGGTGCCATTCAGGTCCGTCATGTTTCCTCCGCACATGGCTGGGAGAATGAAATGGCAGTCACGTATCGAGTCGTTTCACAATGCTTGCATGGCAATCAATTTATGGTGACCCGGCTTGCAAATCAAGGGACCAGAGGAGCAGATGGCCCACTCAAGAGGAGAGGAATGATACAGAAACATCAGGGACGAATGACAGGGGAACATTAGATTAGCACAGTTCACAATGTACGGTGCGAAAGAAGTTCCACATACATACAGAGAGGAATTGATACGGGTGTGGTGTGCTGATGATCGGCGATAACAGTGGAGGGCTGCAGCTGCTGCAGCTGCCGGTTCGTGGAGCCAGCGGCATTCTCCGTGAGCCGATGTTTGGATGCTCGAATGAGCGAGCCCCATTTCCACCGAAATCCAATGCCTTTTCACGATCTCTAAACCCCCAGGCGTAATGACATTCATTTTTTTCCCCTTTCCACGATCTCACTGATAGTACGCGGTGAAAGGTAGGGAATCAATTCCCACATTCCGCTCTCTCACGCAGGTGGTAATCCTCTGGATTGGCCATTATTCAGTTCCCTGCGAGCTCCATGAAGAGTTACGTCAAATGTGATGGAAGGAGGGTTCATGGATCCGTCATTCTTCGGATTAGTTTCAACTCCCTTCTTTTTTTGAACAAAAGGACGAGTAATCGTTGCATGAGCGAGAGGCATCTTATTCAGGAAACAGGAGGAGAATATATTTCACAACTCTGGCTGTTGCCTGATGATGCTGCAGGTTGTTGTAATTACCGGCGAAACGTCACCGGTACTAAAATTGTAAATGTCGTGGGGTTTACTGTCCAACGCACAACCGATCTGCTGTGGTAGTAACGAATTGCCAAATGTTGTTTATGTGACATACCCTTATTAATTGGCTGTGTCAGCTGCTGGTGCACATTTATATTCACGCAATCTAACCCGAAAAACGTTTCTTAGCATTTTACTCCTGTTTTCACATTTAGTAAATGGCATCGCTTATTTCATTCCGAGAGCTAGTTCCGCGAGTCTATGATGATGTCCACAGTTATCCGTGTGTGGGAATAATGCAACGGTGCTCGGACGCAAGTCAAGAAGTGAAATTGAAAGCCACGAGGAGTGATCTCTGGCATAATTTAGAACTCTCTGAGCCTCCACGTCTTCTCTGCTCCTGCGTCTCCCTTGTTTTTAATTGGTCCCGTGTCCATGTCCCGAGTGTTTCTTTTGTTTGTTTAAAGAAGTCATACCCTCGCGCTGGAAAAAATAATTCGGCTGTCCGCTGCATTTCCCAACGTAGCGACGCAAAGTTAACGCCATTAATTTGCGGGAATCTATTCCCCCCTCGCGTTTTGTTTCCGTGAGATTGACGAGACAGTTCGCAGCTGTGCCAATTTGTGCTGCCCCTTTGCGCTGAAAATAATTGGCGACTAAAGGTCCATCCGTCCGTCCGTCTCGTTGCTTGCACGCGACGGTGGAATCGCAACTCCACGTGGTGGGTCACCCTAAACGCTACGGGGCGGGAGGGGGGAACATCAACTCACCAAGTTGTCACTCCGGTGCGAGCTTTTCCACGTGGATATTACTCAAGGTCACATGCAGATCATAACTCACCGTCGTCGCTATCACCATTATCATGGACGAAGGGCCCCCCCCCCCACCCCAAGCCACCACCATTGCTCACGAATTTGCGACGCCACGAATCCGCCTCGCACAATGCGCGTGAGATGATTTCATCACTGCTCCATCTCCCGTCGCACCTCTCCGGTGGATGTCTCTCTCAGATGCGTTCCATTCCTTGACTGTCGGCCACCGCCCCCTCGAAGTCAGCACGCGTCCCGCCCCAGGCCCGCTCACTCTCACGAACTGTTTGAATGATCTCATTCACCTGCTTGTTTGTTTTATAAGTTCACATGCTCTTATTTCTGTTTCTGAAAGATTGAAACTACAAAAATAATATATGTATATAAGAGCATAAAAGTCAACCGGTATCTTATACGTAAATGTGCAGCTATTTTTGTCAACTAACTGTTAGATGAGGGCCTCCTCACGCTGTGCAGGTTTTTGGGAAAATTTGACCATACTTCACCACCTTAGTCGGTGCGGGTCAGAGACACGGAGCATAGACATGGGAGCAGTACAACGAAGCATTTTGCTGCACCGCCCTCTGCTGACAACACAGCAGCCTATAGCACCTGCGTTTGCAGGCCACGCAACTGCTGCACTGTCCTCACGTAAAATCGAAAACGTGTTCCTCACAGTATCCAACCATGAAGAAGGTGAAACTCGTTTTATTATCCCTTGAGCAATGATGGGTCGTGTGAACCTCTCTGCTCCCTCATTGTGTGGAGTGCTCTACCACATTTAAGCCAATATTCTAATTCAGAGGCCCAGAGTTGTGACCCCAATGCAAAGACAAAGATCCCCCCGTATAGCCTTTAACAGGCTCTTGGGGCAAATGCTGTTCTCAAGCACCTATGAAGGCCGGCACGGCACACGAGGGGGTGGGTGGCCAGTACCACGGACGACCGCCTTTGCCTTCTTCGTGTCGATGTTTATCAATCAATCAAAGTTTATTGGTCGCATACACAGTGAAGCTGATGTTATAGTGAGTGCAGCAAAATGTTTAAGTTGTCAGCACCACAACATTGCAATAGAATGTCTAACAAATACACAAATAGAAAGACGTAAAAAATCATGAAATATCCGAACGAATCCAAATAACACTATAACAATAATACAAATTACAATCTGTGTTTCTTTGCATGAGATGAATGAACACAAATATATACTACTAGCGGTAAGTACCCGGCATTGCCCGGGCGAAAAAGACAGACACACATCGACCTACACACACAGACCTTGACCCACACACACAAAGACATCGACTTACACACACACACATATGGACTCACACACACAGACATCGAATTTAGATACACACGCATAGAGTGACACACATATCGACTCACACACACACATCGACTGACACACATAGACACACACACAGCGACTTACACACTCACATGGAGCCATGCACATACATCGACTAACACAGACACACATCGACTGACACACACATACATCGACTAACACACACACAGCAAATGACACACAAACACGGACTGACACGCACGCTTGGACTTACAAACACACACATCGACGTACACACACAGACATCTGGCGTTGCCCGGGCAAAAAAGACACAGACACAGATCGACTTACACATGGTCCTAAACGCACACACATATGGACTCAAACACACACACATTGACTGGCAAACACACATCGACTGACACAGCATGCGCAATTGCGTGCTTTGTCCCGCGGCGGGTGGCAAAACTGTATAAATAAAGATAAATCGCAAAAAAAACGCTATTTTAACCAATTGAAAGGTAACGGAGAGGAAAACGGAATAGCGCTTGCCCCCCGCCGGCTTGACGGAGTGGTAGCTGGCAAACATTTTTTTACGTAAACCCACCATTTGAGAGCCAAATCCCTCACAAGCGCGCGTGCGTTGATCTAAAAGGTTTGCGAAAATTGTCGACCCCTCCCCCCCTCAGAAAATATATTTACTCCTGCGTAGGTATATATACCAACACCCCTACATACAACAGAGTAAATAGTATCTATTCACTCTGTAATTGCACAGTGAGGGAAAAAAGTATTTGATCCCCTGCTGATTTTGTACGTTTGCCCACTGACAAAGAAATGATCAGTCTATAATTTTAATGGTAGGTTTAAATGAACAGTGAGAGACAGAATAGCAACAAAAAAATCCAGAAAAACGCATTTCAAAAATGTTATGAATTGATTTGCATTTTAATGAGGGAAATAAGTATTTGACCCCTCTGCAAAACATGACTTAGTACTTGGTGGCAAAACCCTTGCTGGCAATCACAGAGGTCAGACGTTTCTTGTAGTTGGCCACCAGGTTTGCACACATCTCAGGAGGGATTTTGTCCCACTCCTCTTTGCAGATCTTCTCCAAGTCATTAAGGTTTCGAGGCTGACGCTTGGCAACTCGAACCTTCAGCTCCCTCCACAGATTTTCTATGGCATTAAGGTCTGGGGACTGGCTAGGCCACTCCAGGACCTTAATGTGCTTCTTCTTGAGCCACTCCTTTGTTGCCTTGGCCGTGTATTTTGGGTCATTGTCATGCTGGAATACCCATCCACGACCCATTTTCAATGCCCTGGCTGAGGGAAGGAGGTTCTCACCCAAGATTTGACGGTACATGGCCCCGTCCATCGTTCCTTTGATGCGGTGAAGTTGTCCTGTCCCCTTAGCAGAAAAACACCAACAAAGCATAATGTTTCCATCTCCATGTTTGACGGTGGGGATGGTGTTCTTGGGGTCATAGGCAGCATTCCTCCTCCTCCAAACACGGCGAGTTGAGTTGATGCCAAAGAGCTCCATTTTGGTCTCATCTGACCACAACACTTTCACCCAGTTGTCCTCTGAATCATTCAGATGTTCATTGGCAAACTTCAGACGGGCATGTATATGTGTTTTCTTGAGCAGGGGGACCTTGCGGGCGCTGCAGGATTTCAGTCCTTCACGGCGTAGTGTGTTACTAATGGTTTTCTTGGTGACTATGGTCCCAGCTGCATTGAGATCATTGACAAGATCCTCCCGTGTAGTTCTGGGCTGATTCCTCACCGTTCTCATGATCATTGCAACTCCACGAGGTGAGATCTTGCATGGAGCTCCAGGCCGAGGGAGATTGACAGTTCTTTTGTGTTTCTTCCATTTGCGAATAATCGCACCAACTGTTGTCACCTTCTCACCAAGCTGCTTGGCAATGGTCTTGTAGCCCATTCCAGCCTTGCGTCGGTCTACAATCTTGTCCCTGACATCCTTGGAGAGCTCTTTGGTCTTGGCCATGGTGGAAAGTTTGGAATCTGATTGATTGCTTCTGTGGACAGGTGCCTTTTATACAGGTAACAAGCTGAGATTAGGAGCACTCCCTTTAAGAGTGTGCTCCTAATCTCAGCTCGTTACCTGTATAAAAGACACCTGGGAGCCA